TTTCGGGCATGTCCTGCCGGCAGAAGGCCCCCGGGTCGACCCAGGACACGTTGGAGAGGTTACATCTCCAATCTGGTCCGGGAACGCCTTGGGGTCCTGCCGGAGGAGCTGGTGGACAAGGCCGGGGAGAGGACGGCCTGGAGCTCCCTAGTTGGGATGCTGCCCCCGCGACCCGGACCCGGATAAGCGGAGGAAGACGAGACGAGAAAACACACATTAATGAATGGAATCTTCCGGGTTCAAACCCTTCTTTATGATGTCACACAGAGATTCAGCTATTGTGTTTGTTATAGTTATTAATATTATTGTAGTTATTATTATTATTAAGAATAATATTTATAATAAGTTTAGTATTAATATTATAATTAATAAAACACACATGAATTAATGGAATCTTCCAGGTTAAAATCCTCCTTTATGATGTCACACACAGACTCTTCTATTGTGTTTGTTATAGTTATTAATATTATTGTAGTTATTATTATTATTAAGAATAATATTTATAATAAGTTTAGTATTAATATTATAATTAATAAAACACACATGAATTAATGGAATCTTCCAGGTTAAAATCCTCCTTTATGATGTCACACACAGACTCTTCTATTGTGTTTGTTATTTTTATTAGTATTATTGTAGTTATTATTATTATTAATAATAATAAGAAGAAGAATCACAATTATATTAATGAAAATATTAGTATTAATATTAATATGAATAAAACACACATTAATTAATGGAATCTTCCGGGTTCAAACCCTCCTTTATGATGTCACACACAGACTCTTCTATTGTGTTTGTTATTTTTATTAGTATTATTGTAGTTATTATTATTATTAATAATAATAATAAGAAGAATCACAATTATATTAATGAAAATATTAGTATTAATATTAATATGAATAAAACACACATTAATTAATGGAATCTTCCGGGTTCAAACCCTCCTTTATGATGTCACACACAGACTCAGCTGTGTTTGTTATTGTTATTAATATGGTTATTGTTGTAGTTATTAGGGATGAGCGAGTACACCACTATCTGTATTTGTATCTATCTGTATCTGTTCAACCAACTAAATTATCTGTATCTGTACTCGGAATGGGCGTGGCATAACCCGGAAGTGGGCGTAGTTTAACCGGAACTGGTTGTGGTTTACATCAATATATTATTTTAAGTCTGAAATTGATATGGAATGATCAGAAGTTGATATGTGTATTGTTTATTTGAAAACTATTTACAGAGCAGCCTCAGAATTGAGATTAAATATTTTTATCACAATGGTAAAGAAACTATTACAGAACAAGTGTTTCAGTAAAATCAGAACATTAATATTTAAGTGCATGGATTAATACATCTGAACTCATGCAGTAGGAACTAGGAAATATTAAATGCTAGAACCAGACACAATTTTATGTATATTTTTTTATTATAATTTGATTTAACTGTTTTTTTTCTTAACGTTCTTGGCATTTTGCCCCACACAAAGTTAAACAAAACAATGTTGATTAAGGTGTGTGTGTCTGAGAGAGATAGAGAGGTGAGAGAGATGGATTAAAAAAAAAACCCCGACCGGAGCGGAGGTAGTGAGTGACTGATGCAGCATGTCAGCTCTGTCTTGTCAAATGCACCATGTAAGTTACGAAAATTTTTAATATTTTAAATACTTTAAATATTCAACTGAAAAAGAGGCGAGCTGAAGAAAACCTAGGGAAAACTGAAGAAATGTGAGAAACAGTGAAGCAATCACAGCGAGATCCGTTACGGTCTGTGTGTGTGCGTGGATGAGCCGGTGTCGGTACAAGATCTGCTCGGGTGCAAAATTGGCTCAGGGCCCGTCGACTGCCGGTTACGTCTAAGTAGTTGATTGGCTGAACATGAACCTTACGGAATTACGCAATCACGTTACGTTGGTCCAGGCAAATCTTTCTGTTGGAAAGATGGACAACTTTTACAAAGAAATCCATCATTACCTCTTTGAAAATACACTTTTAGCATAGAGCTGCATGTATATTAGGGCTGAACGATTAACTGCATGTGCAATTAAATTGCGATGTGACAAAAGGAGATTTTCTAATCGCAAAGGCTGCAATTTGGCAGCGAGTGGTTAGCGCAACGCTAATATACATGGAAAAACCCATAGGAATGCTAATGCTAATATCGCCGATTACATTATTACAAATTATGAATTAGAAACGTGCCAAATGATTACATTTGGAGTCTAATAGAAAGTAAAACTACCATCAATCAAATAAGTACAGACAGGTATTTTAGTATAGCCAGAAAACTTTTAACTCCAGAGTTTTGGCTAGCAGCTATGAGCATAACTGAACTATGCATGGACAAGACGTCAAAAACTCTAAACACAAAATACTTCAATAAACGGGACACACTTCTTTCCTGCAAATACAATTTCACAGGTGTTGCTAAGACCTATGATTCTTCAAGGGATGTGCTCAAAGAGGAGTTGAATAAAGTATAGTGTTTTATTTTACAAATACCATTATAAACACAAACTTACGTCTTAAGAAACATTATTTTAATAACGAAACTGCTAAATTCTTTCCAACAGTATAGATGTATAGTTTATTTTGTCCGAATGGGTTTGCCGTACTTTGACGTCATCGGCAGTCGAAGGACCCCGAGCCGATCTTGCACCCGAGCAGATCCTGTACCGACACCGGCTAGAGAGTTTTGTGTGTAGGGAGTGGCGGGCGTTCTATGTGACTGGCCAATCACAGAGCGTGAAGACAGTCAGTTACCCAATGAGGATTTTCCTTCAGCACGATTACAGATATTTACGAGGTTTACTCGTTTCATGCTCGTATTTGTCAAAAATGCTTTATCCGTACCGGATACTCGACTGAAACAAGTATCCGGCTCATCCCTAAAATAAACAATACACATATCAACTTCTGATCATTCCATATCAATTTCAGACTTAAATTAAGATATTGATGTAAACCACGCCCACTTCCGGTTAAACCCTGCCCACTTCCGGGTTATGCCACGCCCATTCCGAGTACAGATACAGATACAGATAATTTAGTTGGTTGAACAGATACAGAAACAGATAGTGGTGTACTCGCTCATCCCTAGTATACACACACACACACACACACACACACACACACACACACATCGTTTTGTTCAACTGGAAGGAAACACGATTTGTTCTCAATCTTCTGTCTTTCTAGATTAAGGAATTATTGACACCTTCTGCTGGACTGAAACTGTTTCTACAGGCAGCATTTATGATGCTAAAGAAGACAAAACTCAACAACATTTTGTGTGGATTCCTTCAAAATAAATTAAACCACTTTACATTACTGCAGGATTTAAATGAATTGACCGGCATATTTAGTCCAAATAATGGGAAAGCCAGAAGTTTTTCACTTATACAAACTACTTAGGCTAAAACTCAAAACTATGTTATTTAACTGTGAGAAACAAAATTAAATATTTCTATAAAATAGAAATTACATTTTAAAACTTTAAGTCAAGGAGGCTAAAGATTTTCTTCTAAATGGATGAGCAACAAATGTTTAGTACCAGCTTTCAGACACTGGAGAGCAGCAACTCCATCTTCCCCATGATCTGCTGTTAAAATCCAGAGCGTTGTTCTGTTTTTTTTGCCAGCAGAGGGCGCAAATACCCCGGTCTTTCAAAGCAACAAAACTTGTTTGCAACAATTTAGAGAAAGTGTTTCTACTACATAACTCTTGTAGTTTTTTTATTTAGACAATATTTTGTATAAGGGTATATCTCATATGCACTAATAAGGAAAGGCTTTTCACACATCGCTCCACCAAAAATGCTTTCACCATCCACCTCTGTAGGTCACTCAGAAAGATGCTTTGTTGTAAGGGCTGTATGGTGGTGCAGTAGAGAACGTCATCTGCAGCCATCAGTGTGGAGTTAGCATGTCGTCCCCATGGATGCGAGGGATCTCTCCGGCTAGGGATCCCTCCGGCTACTCTGGTTTCCTCCCACAGCGCAAAAACATGCATTGGAGACTTGTCCCTTGATGTGAGTGAGTGTGACTGGAGTTGTGTGCCTTTGATGGACTGGACATGTCCAAGTTGTGCCCCGCCTCTCTTCTGGTGACAGTTGGAGTTAAAGAGCTCCACGTGACCCTGCTGAGGACTAAGTGGTTTAGAAAAGAATTGTTGTTCCCCCTTTGATCTCTATTAAGGTAGCGCGACTCGGGTTGCGAATGACCACAGTCACCAATTCTTGTCATGTGTCCATGTATGTATGTATGTATGTATGTATGTATGTATGTATGTATGTATGTATGTATGTATGTATGTACAGTATGTACAGTATGTACAGTATGTACAGTATGTACAGTATGTCTGATCTCAGAATTGTGTGTACTGAAACTCTAATTTCCCTCTGGGACTAATAAAGTATCTTTGAATTTGAATTGAATTGAAGAAGATGACTGAGATTTGTTGTTATTAGATGTTTGATGCAGGGCGTTCAGCACCACATCCGGCAGATTCTGGATCCAAAAATCCAACATGGCAGCTCCTGCAAATGGGACATCCTGGCATCACTTTTCTGCAAAAGAAGGAGGCGGATATGCTTTGTCTTGATTTTAATATGTGGTGATATAGAGACGATAAAAACTCAGATCTATTATTTCTCCAAACAGAGGCTGCAAATAACCATAGACTGTACATACAAATAACTGAAATTTCCTTTTACATCAATGTTCTGTTATTCCCTTTCCTGTGCCTGTCAGCCACCAGGGGGTGCCATGTTACCAAATAGCTGCTGCCACCAGAGCAAGCTTTGTCCGTATCTCTGTCCAATTAAAATCTGTCAACTGCAATAAGTCAAACGGTGACACAAAGGCTCTTTAAATGAACATTGTTGGAGGATAAATTTGATCAATGCTCCCCAGCAGATAACACACACACACACAAACACACACACAGGAGGCTGTATTTCCATGTTCCACTCAGAGAAGACAGACCCTCCCATGAGGAGGAGGAAGAGAGCTTCAGGGGAGCTTCAGTTGATGCGGAGGAGACAGACGTGATGTTGGAACCCTCCATCACCAGAGAGCAACATGCTGCAGCTGTGGGTGAGAAAACAAGTTTCATTTCCACTAAAACAGGATTTTAATCATGATTATTGTGTCTTTAAAATTGTCAGATCTTTTCTGTCATCATCAAACTTTTGCATTTTGACAAATCTCTTCATCTGCTCTTTCTGTTCTTCAAACTTTATAGCTTTGATTTGTCAGCTGCAGCCTTGATTTGTACTCCTTCAGATCCACCATAGTAAAATGATGCATCAAACTATTATTTAGGTGGAGGCTTTGCTGCCAGAGAGGAAGTATCAGCTCACATTTTCAGCAGGTGAGATCATCCGTGTTTGCCAGCTTAAATTTCCCCTTTTGGATGTGGAGTTATCACTCTGAGGCAGTGTCTTCTGTTCTCCAAAGATCAGCTCCCTGTCTCGTGTTTACGCTGAATGATTTCCTGATACAGCACCCCCCAACGCAAGGCTGTCAGATACAACCTTTACTCCTGTTATCACTCACAAATGAGAGATGGACTCCTCTCTCGGCTGTAGAACGCCCTGACTCAGCAGCACTGGGAAACGCTGCTCACATGTGAACATTTAAAACTAAAGCATCCAAATTTAGGCAAATTACTCCTCACATGTAACTGCTGAAACACTTATCCTGTTCCCGTCTTACGAACGATTGAGCTGTGAATGTGTCTGTTGATAGTCATCAGGGTTCCACACAACTGAACGGCATGCAAATATGTGCAGAGTTAAAGGGCATATGGAGGACTGTGGACAAAGGCAGAGGCTGAATTGAGACGATAAAAATCTGAGCTCTAAATTTAAAGCAGGTAAATCAGATTTTGTGGCAGGGGTGTGCATTTTCATTTTGGTTCCATTATTGTTCAGGAAACGTTTTTAATGGATTTGAGCGTAATTTGAGCCCTGATTCATTGTGAAAACCAGATCCCAGTCAGACCCAAACAGGAACCATGACAGCATCGGTGTAATGAGAGGGTGTGTCCTAAACCTGTGAAAACAAACTCACTAGACTGGAGAGTACATCTCACACTGTCATCAAAAATAAAACACCTGCAGGCTGAAAATCCTTTAAATAAGCTCAAAGATTTATGAATAATTAAAAAAGAAAACAATCTGAGTCTGTTGCTCTTTATCTGAAGTTAATTTCAGATAAGGGAATTTTAATTAACAAATAAATAACATTTATAATGCTAGAGTACTCAGGAAAACATTTGAAGCCATCTTTAATTTTGCGTATTTGTTTAAACTTAATGAAAGTGAGCTCTAAGCAGAGGGATGTTGACCTCACCAACTTCACAATCAGCTAAAATCACATGTTAGTCCTGTCAGCGGTAGCTGGACCAACAGGAGATTACAGCAAAAAATCAATCCAGATCTGTTCAGACAGAAAAATCTGTACATTTGTTCTACTTGATGCTCAGTTTTCTCCACCAACACTCACTTCCTGTCTTTGTTGAAGAGCCTCGTAACGTAAAAACTAGGAGATATATCTGAACTTCGTGCATAAAAATGAACACGCCTCTGTAAATGTCAGATTGTGATAAAAGCCTTTCAGCTGGACTGAGTCTTAATACATTTTTGTCTAACAACACAGTTGACCTTTAAAAATTGTGAAATTCTTCAACTAATCATCCAAAAATGGCATCAAAGCCTGATGTTTACTTGAATTTAAAATGTAACGATGTTTTTCTGTTTCCCCGAGAGGCTCCGGATTTGTTTAACGCCGCCATTGAGCAGCAAACTTCATGAGAAACTCACAGCAGCATCTGTTTCCTCTCCTACAGCCGAACCCCGAACTGCTCCCCTGTGATCCCTGTCGCCATGACAACTTTTACAATCCTCACAGCAACCAGGAGTCCTCAGAGGAGCTGCTGGGTTTATTAGCACATCTCTGTTAGCTTAAATCCAGCTCTGAAGGAGGGACCAGGAGGAGAGCATCACTGTAGGGAGGCATGCTGATAAAATTTTGCTCTTCTCTGTTTCAGAGATGTTTTTCCACTGGACTCTGCTGCTGGGTCTCACCTTGCAGTTAAAGACCGGACCAGTTTGTGGATGTGTCTGTTCACCGGCCACCACGCTGTCCCAGTTCCCCTTGGAGGTTCCTGCTGATGTCTGCTGCTTGAACTACTCCCGCTCTGCTTTTGGGCTCCTGCTCTGGTCCGTGTTTACAAATGAGACGAATTTAGAGATGCTGGATCTGTCCAGCTGTAACATCAGCTTTATTCAAGGTAACAACAAACAGGTGTCTGCCCTGCAGAAGGTTTACCTGGAGCGGAACAGACTGAGACGGTTACCGGACCAGTTTCTTGCTGCTCAGCCCAATCTGACTGAGGTGAATCTGAGTGAGAACCTTCTCCAGGAGCTTCCTGGTGGATTCCTCCAGGACTCCTCCAGCCTCCAGAGCTTGAATCTACAGGGGAACCAGCTACGCTCCTTACCTGGCAGTTTACTGCTGCTACCCAGTCTACAGAGACTAGAGCTGGATGGGAACCAGTGGGAATGCTCCTGTTTGTTACTGGAAGGTCTGGAGGCGGGCAGGCAGGTTAACAGGACCCAAAAACTCCAGAATGTGGTGAGGAACCTGACCTGCTCCTCTCCTCGCCACCTCACCGGCAGGTCCGTGTGGTCAGTGAGCCTTACTGACGTGTGTCGCCCAGCTGGCCTCACGGCGCTCTTCATCGTGCTCCCCCTCCTCATCCTCTCTGCCTTGCTGCTCTGTTGGTGCTGTGGCAGGAAGAGGAAGAAGAAGGAAACTCCTACATTCAGCACTTCCAAAAAGAGGGCTCCCAGCTCCAGCTACCCTGGCCACAAACATCCCAGCAAGCCTCAGCCTCCCGCTGCTGAGCAGGTCAAAGCAGGAGATGCTAGGAAAGAGGGGATCCTGAAGAACCAGCTGCTGCTCCGCCCGGCCTCAGAGCTCCTGGGCAGCACCAGGGACATCTACGAGGAGGTGGAGATCAAGATGGGCTCGGTGGAGTCTCTTCCACAAGCCTCCTCGTGGCGCTCCAGCTCCACAGAGGACAAGCAGGTGTCCCAGGAGCCTGAGGGGGCGGGTAAGACAGAAATGGACTCAGTCAGCGTGACAGAAGTGATGAAAGACTCGGCTGATAGAGAGAAAGCTTATCTGACCCAGTCCACCGAGTACTACAGCCTGGTTCCGGGTATCGAACTGGAGGACTCGGACCACGGAGAATACGAGAGCATTAACCTCTGACCTTTAAAGACCCTTTTGGAGACTTTTTTTTTACTGCAGAACTTGAGTCATGTGGTGCATTATGGGAAAGCTTACAAGTTCACAAACACACAGGGTTACTCTTTAAAACGTTAATGCAAAACTATGAAAAAATACATTTTGACCTCCAAGCTATTATCAATATTTTATCTTTCCTGTGTGAGTTTGAAGTGCCTTTGCTACTGCTGTTTCACAAGCTGCTGTCTGTTAGGACTTCCAGCCGCTGGAGTTTATTTTAATGCTCCAATTATGTAAACTTTGTCTTTCACAGGAGTGGGAATGCCTCGAGCAGACCCTCAGCTGTTCTGGAATCCTGGAAATCAAAAGTCCTGCAGTCCGAGTCTTCTAAATGAGAGCAGAATCAGGTGTGGGTTCAGTAAAAAAAAAAAAAACCTTCCAGGTGCTCTAAATCACCAAAGGTTTACAGTTGGGGAAGTTATTATGTTAATAAGTACTTTACTGTGTAATCCTGCTTAAAAATGGACATCACAACCAAATTAAATGGCTGTAAAATAATGTAATTAATTTTTTAAAATCCAAAGACTCTTGCTAACGGCTCTAAAGTTTAATCTGCACAGAAACAAAATGCGTTTCCTGATGAGTTCTGGACGTATAACCTAACGTATCGGAGAGTCCCGCCGACACGGACAGCGGGGACTTCAGCGAGCCGGTGAGATAAAAGCAGAGTTGTTGGCACAAGTCCCGGCTCAGTCATATTTCTGCCTTACAAAGGCAAACAGCGAGGGAAGTTTGACATTTAAACGCTCTAAACGATACAGATGTTTAGATACACAATGTTATATTTAAAACACTAAATAACTGAAGGGTTCTCAAGCTAGTTTTCTTTTTGTGTGTTTTATACAGGAAGTCAAAGCCTCTTATAACCTTTAGACTTGATGGAGTCTGTTTAACCTCCAAGATCTGATTTTTATCCTGAGAGGCGCTATAGAAAATATCTTTTCTTCCTCTTCTTCTTCAAAATAACACCTCCATTCCTCAGTGACGTCATTGTTTAAAATATTGAATAATCTTAGTTTTGGAAGGGCCAAACTAACTCTGACATGCCTTATGCAAAATTTATGCTGAATTTCATTAAACAAACTTTATTTATTGCCAACAGGAAATCAGATTGCTGCAGAGTCTATCAATTTAAAACAAAAATGAGGATCATTATGAAGTTTTGTCATTTGTATTCACGACCACGACTGATTCTGTTTGTAGATAATCATGCACACATTGTTTCTACAGCATTTGCACAAATAAAATAAGTAAAACAACAGTCTAACAGAACTTATTGTTTGCTGCAGAAGCATCCCAGATTCCCAATCGTTAAATTAATTAAATGTAGTTTCTGTCTGTTTTTTCAAAATAGAAGCAGGAATAACTCCAAATCTCTCCTTCTGCACCTTTACAATAAAAGCTTCATCAGAAGCTTCACAATGTAAATGTAAAACTTAAGTGCAATAAAGGAGGGTGTTATGTGACAATGTGAAACAAACAGGTGACTGTAGTCAGTGCTCGGGGGGGGGGGGGGGGGTTACAATGAAAGAGGAAGTGATTCAATCCGGCCCTTTTCCTGAGGGACCTGCAGGAACGCAGTGAGGCCTTGAACAGAGGGATAAAAAAAGACATTTTAAAGACACAAATGCATGGATTCTGTTTCTGGCACATATTGTTGTCAAATCCAGACAGGTCAGAATTCACTTCTTTGTTCTAATTTAAAGAATCTTTTGAGTTTGCTTTTGTTTTCTTCTCCAACTCTCTGGTTACATTTACTCCAGTTTCATTGTTTTTATGTTTTCCTTATGTCACACAATAGGTTTACGCTTAAAGCTGCACAACCAGAAACGTGGGTGCTAAATAGTGAGCGGAAAATGCCCGAGCTGGCTGTCGGCAAATGCTGGCTGGAGATAAAAATCTGTAAAAGTGCTGCTTCAGGAACACGATGAGCAGAATCACAACACAAAAGGTGGAACGTGGAGGTCACTGCGACAGGGCCGAATGTGGAAAAGTGTCTCACACTTCATACATCTAATTAGTCTCCGAGAGAGAGACGGAGGGTGAAGCCAGGGTGTGGAGCTTCCTGGAATTGAACAGACAAAGGCGTAATTTCCAGATGGGTTGACACATATTTTCCTTTATAGCAGGCATGTTCAAGGTGTGGCTCGGGGACCATTTGTGGCCCTCAGAATGATTTTGTGCATTCCAAAAATGATGAAAAAGTGAAATTTTATCTCCCAGCAGGCTGCCTATAAACACTCTTTTCAAAACATATATATGTTCAGAATGAGGCCCATTTTGAGTAGTACAAATAGATAAACCACAATAGAATAATTCATGCATTATTTCTAATGCAAAAATCTAATTTGTGTGGCGTGCAAAGACTTTTAGCTTGATGATTTTGGTCCTCATCTTGAAATATTTGGACAACTTGGTTTTAAAGTTTGTCAGATGAATAAGAAAATGTACCTTGTGCATATGTAGGAGGTCCTGCAGGAGGTCGTGACCTCTTTGATTTTGATTATTTTTAGGGAGGTAATGTTTTCAGGCTTAATTAAGATTCCAATAGTAATGATAATAATGAAAAGAACCTGTTACTGATTTTCCACTCTTGTCTATTTTGTCATTTTTGAACAGTTTAACCCTCTTTCTGCTGCAGGTCTAGAAAACAGAAGTTTAAATTCTTAAGAAAAAGTATTTTAGTGAATTTGTCTCTGAATCACTGCTTTTAAACATGAATCTTGTAAAACTTTGTTGTTTTCTTCTAAAATTAAGCACAAAATGTAACCGAGGCTTTGGGCTTCAAGGCCAGAAACTCATTTTAGATGATTGATGTGAAAGACAGATTTTCAAAACGTTTTTATTTTTTGTTTGTTTATTTTAATTATATATTCAAATTTTAAACTGAAATATATCTTTTCACTTTTACCATTAAGTGTTAACCTGTGTGTCTAAGTGGTTAACTTTAAACTTTTAAACATTGATTTCATAATTTTGTTTGTATTTATGTGAAAATTCTCTTTTTTTCAGGCACAGAAAAGTTTAACAGAAACATTTAGATGTAAATTTGATATGATGCATAATTTAGAAAGCTTTGTTTTGTTTTATAGGATGCACAATCCTTATTCTTTTAAACATTTTAAAATATTTGCACAACATCAAATCATTTCTAAGTAATTCTTTGAAAAGCCAAATAACCTGGTCAATAAAAGCTGAACCTTCTCTCAGAACCAGAACTTTTCATCCCAGACCTTTCCACCTGGAATTCCACTTTTCTTTGGGCTCTGACTTCATTCATCGGGGGAAGTTGTAATTACTGCATGTGAAACCCAGTGCTCGATCTCAGAAGTCTTGGCTCGTTGGAGTATCTATGAACAGTAAATGTGTTTGATCAGGATCACAGATGGACCTTTGTCTGGTCTGACACCAGGGAGGAAGACCAAAGCATGAAAAACCACGTTTATCAGGAAAATTCCCACAAGTGACCACTGATTTCTACTCATGTATATAAAATGTTTAACAATTTAAATATTAAATATGTGGATGTACTTGTCAACGTTTTCTGTAAATAAAAGAGCATCAAGACATCTTTGTTTTTCAGATACAAACAGGGTTGAAGGTCAGGCCGCAGCCATGCAACAGCGTCCTCTAGTGGATAAACGTTGAATCTTTATTTACACAGAGTAATTTACTGAGACAAATGCATAAATCTGCTGCTTCAAGAGTCATTAATCTTCTGTAGATTCATCAGAGAACAGGGAAGTCCACACGGAGCCATTAAACATCCAGAGAGAACTACGTCAGAAGATAAAATACAGCCAGAAAATTCAAAAAAGTCAGATTTACAGTGGGCTGCCTTTACGATGTGAAAAATAAACAAGTGGGTCAAACACAGAAGTTCATGACAAAAGCAAAAAAAAAAAAAAAAGAAGGGGTGAAACCCGTCTGACTAGTGCAATACTGACGGGTCCTCATCAGAGTCACTGCCTTTAAAAAAACAACACAAACCAGTCAGTTTCTGTGGGTTTTATTTGATTTCATGCTGAGTGTTTGGTTTGCTCAGATAAAAGGTCAAAGTTCACCTTTCTTTTGCGTGTTTAAATAAATAGTATCTTTTTAAATTTAAAAAAGTACCTATAGGCCTAATAAAAAACATTTATCGAATATGTCCACATTAGGAAGCATTATCTTCTAGAAATAATCAAATTATCTCATTTTAGTGTATTTAAAATAAAAAATAAACGTCTACAATAGGAAAATTATTAATAAAAAATTAAATAAGACGTTATTAAATATTTTAAATATATGTATATTTTAGAAGATATTTGGGGATTTTAGTTATTATTTTTACTAAAAGGTTTTCTTGAGTTCATCAGTCCTGAACTATATTAATGTCGATGGTCCTGAACAACGAATCTTTTGCAATTACTTAAATTATTTACTTTATGACTAATTTTTACAGTGTTCTGGAAATCATTTATCACCTCTTTTACAGCTTTTTAGTTTCACAGTCTGGAGCAAAAATAAACTTTAATGTTTATGAGCTCTTTATTATTTAGAAATATTCATGTCATTTTTAACCTTCTTGCCTACAAGAAAGATTTGTTTATCTTAAGCTCCACCCAAAAGCTTCATAGTTGTGTTAAATTAACCTGCTGCTGATTACAAGCTCAGACTTTTCTGGTGAATCTAGCTTGATCGCAGGTGTGTTTGCTTCTGGCTGCAGGTTCCCAGGTAATAAATTCAAGAGTTTAATTTATGGCAGCTCAGCAGTTAAATTGAGATTCAGAGGAAGAACGGTTCTTTTCAGGAGTAAACAACCCTTGCAGCTTTAATGTTCTGCATAAGAGACTGATTTTGCCTAAATCTTGCAGGACTTCCGAGCAGAATCATGACTGTTTCCTACTCTCTAGAGGTGGCCAGTGCCAGGTTTTGTGGCTTCTCCAGGCTCCTGTTCAGGTGGAAGGGGAGCATCTACCGGCTGCTGTATAAAGAGTTCCTGGTGTTTTCTTTTGTTTATCTCTTCTTCAGCATCTTTTACAGGTAAAGTCTCTGGTTTCATGTCTCCTCACATCTATGTGCTGCACAATCTGAGGGATCTTTTTCTTTCTCCAGGTTCCTCATGACTCCCAAGCAGCAGGACCTGTTCGAGCGCATCGCCCTTTACTGTGATCAGTTCACCAACACCAACTTCATCCCTGTCCTGTTTGTTCTGGGTGAGACTGAAGGTCCGGTCTGATCCAGCCTGAGGCAGAACCTGTCTAACTTATTTGCTGTTATTCCAGGTTTCTACGTGACTCTGGCCTTTAACCGCTGGTGGGGTCAGTACACCAGCTTCCCTCTGCCTGACAACCTGATGATGGTGGTGTCAGGAAACGTCCACGGCGCAGACGAGAGGGGACGCCTACTGAGACGAACCCTCATGAGATACGCCAACTTATCTTCGGTCCTGATTCTGCGCTCCATCAGCACCAGAGTTCTCAAGCGGTTCCCAACTCTGGAGCACATCGTGGAGGCTGGTGGGTGTAAACATTTCTGATCAGACTGTAGGGACTACAGTGGATTTAGTTATCAGGAAAAACAAAAAATAAAAACATCTGTATGTCCCATAGCTGCGGACAAGGAGAGACGCCTTCTGATTTGCATTTCTCCAAATATCACCTAAATGATCTCCTGATTGCCTTAAAAAGTGGTCCAGGTTTATAACAGCTGATAGAACATGTGTGTGTTCTCTGTGCAGGATTCATGACAACACAGGAGCTGAAGAAGTTTGAGTCTCTGCACTCGGATTTCAACAAGTACTGGATGCCTCTGACGTGGTTCTCCAACCTGGCGTCCAGAGCCAGAGAGGAGGGGCGGGTGAGGGACGACATCTCTCTGAGGCTGCTGATGGACGTGAGATCTTTGAAACACTACCAAACCTGGAGTTGTTTATTGTTGCTTGGAAATAAAACCCCAGCGTGTTTCTGCAGGAGCTGAATAACTACAGAGCAAAGTGCAGCCTGCTGTTCCACTACGACTGGATCAGTATCCCTCTGGTCTACACTCAGGTCAGAAAAACAGCGACGAAACCTTAAAACCTTCATCATTAATTAAATCTCTTTCTGGTTTAGTTTCTCACTAAAGATTAATGTGATTGTATTCCAACACAGGTGGTAACCATTGCGGTTTACTCGTTTTTTGCCTTCTGTGTGATTGGCCGACAATTTCTGAACCCTGAGAAAGGGTACAGCGGTCACAAACTGGACATGTACGTGCCAGTTTTCACCCTGATGCAGTTCTTCTTCTACACCGGCTGGCTGAAGGTGACCCCGACACAACCTCACTGCTGTACACTCCATCTTCTCCACACGTCTGAAAGTGACCCCGACACAACCTCACTGCTGTACACTCCATCTTCTCCACACGTCTGAAATTTAAACTATTTTAGAAATCAGCTGTTTCCAGATTAACATCATGAAAGTTTTATAAAGTCAGAATCAATAGTTAGAATGAAAACATGTAATTGAATCACAACCACACACTTTTGGAGGGCCTGGACCCGTGTGCTGAGCTGTTTCAGTGGAACAGATGATGTCTCTGTGTTGAAGGTGGGAGAGCTGATAATTAACCCATTTGGTGAAGACGATGACGACTTTGAAACCAATCAGCTGATTGACAGAAACATTCAGGTTGAAGCTTCAGTTTGTTTTTAACTATTATCAGGACTTGAATTTAGATTTGAATTAGGTTCCTGTCTGCTTCAGGTGTCCATGCTGGCGGTGGATGACATGTACCAGAACCTGGCTCCAATTGTGAAGGACAAACACTGGTCCCAGAGACACTTCTCTGTCCCTTACACTCAGTCAACAGCAGCAGAGACTCTCAGACCAGTTTTCAAAGGATCCACCTTCGACATGAGGTAAACAACTGATAACACACCTGAAAATGTATTTAATTTGCTTCATTAGTTTACAGATGAATAGGAGAAAGGAGAAAAATGTTATCAACAAAGTCAGTGACATCAAATTTATTTATGAACATTAAATTAATGTATTATTTACAGATCTTTAACTTCATTTTATCAACTCAAACATTCTGTTAAATTAAAACAAAAAAAAAGACAAGAAGCTGAGCACAAAAGAGAATCAGCATAAATAATAAACATTAAATCTAAGTCCTTAAACAGGAACATAGAAATTAATACTTCATGCTCAGAAACACATATTATAACAGATGGAGTCCCACAGGGCTCTGTTCTTGGTCCAAATTATTTCTTATTTACATTATTGACATTCGTCAAGTCATGAAAAACATGCAGTGTATTCTTTTTGCAGATGATATTAGCCTTTATGGTTCTGGACTAAATATTAAGCAGCTACTGCAAACAGTTGAAAAAGAATTGAGATTATTAAAGCAATGGTTTGATTATAATAAGTTATTAATGAATGTGAATAAAACAAAATAGATCATCTTTGGGAATGCTGGTATGCTGTGTAGAATCAAGGAAATTGTCAATCAAAAATCACTCTACTTATTATATCATGCACTCGTCCTGCCATACCTAACCTATGGTGTGGATTTCTGGGGAAATAATTATAAAAGCATAATCCAATCTATTGTCAATCTGCAAAAATTTTTTGCAGAATTGTAAATTATGCAGAATATTGTGCATCAACAAATCCTTTATTTATTAAATCAAAAATGTTGAAATTACATGACTTGATAGAATTTAGCACAGCTATTATTATGTATAAGCTCCACAACCATAAACTCCCTGGACGTATTCAGGACAGATTTAAACTCAGAGACACTATTTATAACTTGAGAGGAACACATAGTTACCAGAAAAGTAAATTTCGAACAAACCCAAAAGGTAAATGTGTTTTGATTAAAGGAATAAATATATGAAATAGTTTAGATAAGACAACAAAAGATTCTATATCCTTAATAGAATTTAAAAAGAAGTTCAAAGCTAATATAATAAATAATTATGTAGCCCTTGACCAAAACTGTACGGAACCTATTTTGTGTACTTTAGCTTGAATTGCCTCTGTGTTTGAAATGTGCTCTATAAATGAAGCAGCCTTGCATTGTCTTTGCTTTCTTTTACTAGCTCTTCTTCCTTGTTGAAGGCAAGTCGCATTATGTTGTAATTTAGGTTTTGGCCATGGCTAAGTGTTTTCACTTCTGCCAAAGCCTTTCAGTCGTTGACTTTAATTTATTTATTTCTCATGAAATTTTGAAGTTGGTTGTCTATATGTACATAAATTGACTGAAAAATAAAATAGGAAAACAAAAAACATTTAATTTACAATACGGCCCAGACCAGTAAATACAAATGAAAAGTGTTGGCGAATTTGAAACAGAAAAAAAAGTTATATTAAAACATTGAAAACAAAACAATAAGAAGGTAGAAATCAAAATCCCTTCTTCACTCTGAGTCTAAAGATGCAAACTTGGACTTATTTCTCCACACATTTTTAAACAATTTACATTTTTATAAAGACAAAAAAAAAGAATATATAATAAAAAGTTTTTTGTAATAATAAATAAACGGTCATATGATATTGTAGAGGGTGTAGATATACGTATGTATTTGGGTGCTTTTAAAGCTTGATAAACTACCCTACACTTTGACCAATATGATGTGAATTTCCATATAAATGTGGAAATCCAGTCTGATTGGTCTTTGAATGTTTAACCAGAAGATTTAGAATTCTTTGTTTATTCAGGGATTGTCAGACACTTTGTATTAATTCAAGAAGAGAGTCAAGTTTATAAAAAGTAAGATTTTATTTTCTAAACAATTAAAACATGACAACTCGGACACTTTATGTGATGGATGGACCTAAGTGGATGGACTGTGAGGTGTGATGATGTGTGAATGTGATGTTATCAGAACCCTTGTATCTGAAGAAACTGAGTTCTGAGTGGGAGTGAATTTGGTCTGCATTAAACTAACAAAGTTGGTTCTTCTCAAAAACACATTAGACGCAATCTGCCAAGTCTACGTACCCTCAAAGACCCCTGTGGTAGATCCGGAATGTGTTGAGGTCCGGGGACCCCAGAGGTACCGAAGTCCGTAGAAGAAACCGCAGTGCTGACTAGAGATGTCTTCAGGTCACGACAGTTGTTAATTGCGTCTTAGGAATAATAGGAGTTGAAGTTGGTTCAGCTTTGTTCTGAAGGAACCATTTGCGGTCAGCTGTAGCGTGCAACAGTCACGTGTCTGCGTGTGTGAGCTGTCAGAAGATAGTGATTCACTTGTTAAATCTAAAATTACTGATCATAACATAATAATATTCATTTCAACCACAGTAATTTAAGCACAGATTAATCAAAACATTGTTGTTATTCTTCAACCATTATTGTTCATTCAACCATATTATTATTTAATGATTATTTAACTTATGAGTTTTAAAAGTTCCTCTTTCATGAGAGTGTGCAATCCTGTGGTCTAATCAAAAGAAGGCTTTGTTTGGGAACATAGGCTGACATCTTGTTCCCCCTGAAATGTCAACAAGGCTTGCAGAATCTTCTGGGCTTGTTGGAAGACAGAATGTAAAACCCACCTTAGAGGATGGAATTAGGTCTGTAGATGACCAGTGGCATATGTAGGTGGAAACTGACCATTTATGGATGTTACAATATTCATTCAGTGTCTTATACAGTAAGAATCCTACCTGCAGGTGATGTCACCCAAAGTGGGTTGAGTCTCTATAAATACAGGAATTAGCCATTCATTTTGCTAACAAATTGGTAGCTTCTACCCCTTTCTATCTCATAACAAACTGATGCATCTAAATTATTTGAGTAAAAAAGTTTGATAGTTTTACATCCCTGTTATCGTCTGATTCTCAAAATGAAACCAAATTACAAAATAATGCTGATGCGCTGATGCATTTTTAAACAATCTGCTCCTCTGATTATCTCATGCATACAATAAGTTTACAGCTATGACTTGAGCTGATCAGCTGAAAAGTCATCTGTTCAGGCTAACTTTTGTTTGTTTGTATGTATGATCTGCTGATTATACCTTCTTTTCATGCTGCTGTTTTGATTAATTCTGCCTTTCCTATCCTGTCTCACCTTTTCTTTTCAGTTTTGTTTCAGTTTCAGTTCCTCCTTTGGCGAAAAATCCGAGACTCAATAGTTGATTAGAATTTTTATATGGAAAATTTAATGGAAGTTTTTGCTTTTGTGACTCTTTAATCCAGGTTGCAGGAGCAAAGTAGCTAAACTTGGTTTTTCTGAGTTTAGTACCAACATTAGGCGTCTCTAAGACAACAGTCTTTGGTATTCTTTCCTTATTGCAGCATCTCCCTAATGTAAGGTTTTCAGGTGAGGCGTGCATGTATAAAAAGTCCCCACAATCTAGTTTTCGCAAAAAATTAACTTTAATCAGATATTTTTTCTTGTGATGAGAACACCTACTTTTTTCCCGACAGTAATGTTCTATTTTTTGCTGCAAACCCTTTGTCTTTTCTGTAATATGATGTGTAAAAGTCAGTTCCTCATCAAGCCACAGTCCTAGATACTTGTACTCAGAGACTTTTTCAATAAAAATCTCAGCAGTAGTAGTGATGTGCAAGTTCGATTCGTTGAGGGTTGAGGCTGGAAAGATCATTAATTTGGTTTTATCCACATTGAAAACCATTTTGTGGTAATTCAATAAGTCTTGCAATCTATCAAAGCAGTGCTGAAGTGATTCGACAGCTTCATGAACGCTGGCATTGCTACAGTACAAAACGATGTAATCACCATACACATGAACACCACAGTCAGTCACAGATGAAACAATGTCATTCATATAGATGTTGAACAAAACAGGGCCTAAAACTGACTTTATCGTCGGACCCAATGAATGCATTCTCTGCATATTTCAGGCATGAATGTGATTCTGTTAGATTGTTTTTCTTTTCTTGTTTTGCATCTTTATTTTTAGATCATGATGTTGGAACATCCCAGCTAATGGATTTTAAAACAAAACAAACAAAAATGTCACATCCTACAATTTGACAAGAGTTATCTGAGGAGAATTTAGAATAGAGCAGACTTTATTAATCCCATGAGGAAATTGACTCATTAGACCAGCACACACCCTTTCCAAAAACAGAATCCACATAAAGGACTGTGACATTCAAATGAACATCCAGGCATGGCTCTAATATTGCATACATACTGATTATTGCACTGATGATAGCGTGTAACAGGATAATGCTAGTAACTGTTAGTTATACACTCTTACTGCGGTGGGAAAGAATGACCCACAATAATGTTAAGTTTTACATTGTGGATGTCCATGGCCTCCACGGTGGGTGGAAGGGGTCATCCAAGATGGAGGTCAGATTCGCTGACATTCTCCTTTCCACAGAATCCAGTGGGCATCTCGGTACTGAGATGGCTTTCTTAACTAGCTTGTTCAGTCTCTTCCTATCTTGGTCAGAGCTGCCTGCACCCCAACAGACCACAGCAGAGTGAATAACAGAGCTAACAACAGAATAGTAAAAAATAGTTCAGCAGATGGGAATGAACTCCGAAGGACCTCAGCCTCCTGAGGAGGTGGAGGCGGCTGTGGCCCTTCTTATACAGAGCATCTATGTTGTGGGACCAGTTCAGTTTTTTGTTGAGGTGAACACCCAGGTACTTAAAGGTATCCATCACCACAATATCTGCTCCCTGGATGTTTACTGGTGAGTAAGGAAGAGTGTTTCTCTGGAAGTCAATCACCATTTCCTTTGTTTTACTGGTGTTCAAGCAAAGGTGGTTACGCACACACCAGTCCACAAAGTCCATGACTGACCTGTACTCCTGGTCATTCCCCTCAGACACACAGCCGATAATAGCAGAAACAGGCTCAGAACAGATGGCCTTCTGCCTCGGCCAAAAGAGGTCTGACAGAACAGGGAAGTAGGGTTGGGCCAGTCATTATTTGCTATTCTAATTTCTATGGAAGTCAAACGGAGAAAACACAGTTAATGTCAACACAACTGCAACATGAAAAATAAATGTTGTAAAGAAAGAGTGAGTCTATGCTGTTCAGCAGTCTAGACATGTTGCATAACTAAAGGGATGATCCAGGACAACCTCCCTTGCTTTCTACTTTTAGAAGCTTGCTCCATCTCTTACACTAAATATTTTATTTCATAATTGAATTGATCATCTTAATTATTAAAAGAAAACAAATACTATCAATCTTTAAAACACCTTTTTTATGAGTTACTGAATCCTAATGATGGTGTGAGGATACTCCGTTAATCATAGACGACGCAGCTTTAAAGCACATTGCATATGTAATGTCCAGCAATGGTCAGTTTTTAAGTACAATTTGACCCTTCAATATCTGGTCAAAATGGAGACTCGAGACTGCACGTGTTCCCTTTAATCTGCCTGCCTTCATCCCATCAGCTGGAGCTCAGAGCCTCTTTGCAGCTCTGAAAACATGATAACGTATTGTCAACAATGATGTTCTCTCCTCAAGGCCCAAGCTTCCCTTATCGTCCTACAGGATTATTCATGCCTCTGAATAAGTGAACAGTCGCAGCACGGATTAGTTGCTAAATTTGAAAATCATATTTAAAATACATAAATAAAATTAGATTAAAAAAATAAAAAGTTAAAAGACTGAGCAGTTACAGTGCAGAAAGTGCAGCATTAGAAAAAACAGTCTAAGACAGATGAATACATCAAAGATCAATTCTGATTAGATAGAAAATTATATTTTCAAATTAAGCAACATTTGATTTTCAAAAGATCTGATTCAGTGCTAGTCACAGATGTTATTATTCTTGATCAAAAAACTCTATTAAATTTATTTTAACCCTTTAAAGTCATGAAATGTTTTGAATGTGTTATTTTATCTTTTTTCATAATATAGACACCACAGCCATGTTTGAGCCGCATTATCTTTTGTATTTTCAGGATGAGTGCTGAAGATCTTGAGATTCACCAGCCGACAGATGTGTCTGTAAACAAGCAGTATTTACCACTTCAGAGCTCCATTGCTGATGGCTTTGATGGTCTCCTGCAGAAGAGTAAAGGGATCCTTCACAGAGGGAGCCTTCCTCAGCTGATAGACATCATGACTCTCCCAGATGAAGATGATGAGGCCAATGTAGCTGACAAAGATGCCACCAATCACAAGGAACAAGTGCAGACAGTGGTTTCAGCTGCACTGTAAAACATATACTGAGAAATAAGAATAGTCATCATGTTTTTCTGCAAAGAAAACTTAACAAATGTAAATAAAACTTTTAAAAATGCTTCTCTTTATCAAAGTCTTAACTTGTTGGAACTTTTACAACAACTAAACAGTAAATAAATCATATACCATAACATAATTTGGTTGAAATGCTAAAAAATGTGTTCACCACAAATTAAAAGGTGAGCTGCTTAAAACAAGTTAAAAGCAACATTTATATTTTAAAGACAGATACCCAAATATGTATAGTATATATAAAAATAGAGCAGTGAATCATACATTTATAAAGGGACTTAAATTGACTGTTCATGGGCTCTTGGATGAAAGAAATTGTGGAATTTCAACAATTTGCTAAATAATACTATTCTTTTTTTTATTAATAAAATCTATCAATTTAAAGGGGAGTATCACCTGTGTCACATCATATGCATGAAGAAATTATTGTTGTTTGGGTCACACTCATACATTTAAAAAAGTACTATGGTGTTTACAGCTTATCTATCTATCTATCTATCTATCTATCATCTATCTATCTATCTATCTATCTATCTATCTATCTATCTATCTATCTATCTATCTATCTATCTATCTATCTATCTATCTATCTATCTATCTATCTATCTATCTATCTATCTATCTTCTATCATCTGTTTGTGCGTGTACACATTTATTTTGAAAAATAAAGTCAACGGAAGCTCGAGAGGTTCAAAAAGACCGTTGTCACTTCCGCGTTGTTAGAAATCTGAATCAGACGAGTTTCACCAGACAACGTTTTGTCAGCTGGTACGTTAACATTTATTTTTGATGACAGATAAAATATTTTACACAGCACAACGTTGTTTATGAATAGTTTGATAGCTATTGTATTTATTTCGCTAGTTTCATTAATGACATCTAAGTCTGCCCTCTCAAACACTTAGCTGGTTAGCATGCTAACATTAGCTCACTAACTTCTACCTTTAAAAAGGAGGAGCTGCTTTAATGACCCGAAGGGGCTTTGTTCGCTAATTAAGAGATGTGCGACCTTTTGTAAAAAGAAGCTTGGAAGTGGAATTATGATCCGACTTGCGTGCTGCTGGTGAAGCTTTTGTTTTGTGTGGTTTGACAGGAGCATCCCTGCATCCAGGCAGGAAAAACCAAACAGAACAGAACAGAGTTGTTATGTCAGCAGAGTCCTCCCTGTTGCCGTTCCTGAACATTTCCACATCTTCATCATGTCTCTGTACGACAGCCCTCATCTTTTGCTCGGCAGGATCCGCTTTTTGAACAAATGCGTCGAGAGTTTCAAGAGGAGCGAACCGGTGCCTGAAAGTCTGTGTTATGTCCCCAAAGAGGTGTGCTACAAAATCTGCAAGGATTCGTCATCCTGCTCATCGGTCTCGGCTGGAGCCTCTACAGGGGGCTCCACCACTGGAAAAACCCTCCTGTCTGTCTTTGAAAGTCCTCATCAGATTTCCCACAACAAGAAGGCCTACAAGTACAACATTGAACCAAAGAAAGGGACATGCATCCGGACTACAGGAGAGGAATACTGCAACAGCCAGGGTCTTTGGGTCAAGATGAATAAGGTATCTGGCACGCTGCTCTTTGAGACACCAGTTCTATGGTTATTATGGCACATTTCTGTCTCAACATTTAGAAAAATTGCTGGGCAGAGAAAAACTATTTTGCTGTTTTTGATGACTGTGTGTCTGACATCTGCTCCTAGGAGCAGCTGGAGGAGCATCATCCCAGCCAGGAGCTGGAGGAAGGCTGGATCCTGGTTTGTAAACACACAGAAGGAGGGGACAGGTTGGTTCCCGTGGAGTCCCCAGAGACCATAAACAGGCAGCAGCAGCTCTTCGGCTATGACCACAAACCCTGCACCAGATGGGAGCAGGTGGTTGATGTGGATAGCGCAGTCTACATCGGCTCCAAACCCAAAATTGCAGATTGTGATGCCGCCGCTGTCGAAAAGTTAAGGTAAAAACATTTATGTGAGTGAATGTTGAGTGTGGAGGCTCTTATGTTGTCGTAGATTGTTAAATTTCAAAACTAACTTGTATGTGAAAGGTATGTTCCTCCAACATGGACGTATGAATGTGATGAGGACCTGGTTCACTACTTCTACGACCACATAGGAAGAGAAGACGAGAACCTGGGGAGTGTGAAGCAGTGTGTGACCAGCATCGATGTGTCTTCATGTTCAGTGAGCAAGATTTCCTTTGCTTGTTTTACATCTGATAACTAAAATTAAGTGTTAGAAACTAGTAAACATTATAGCTTTAGATATAGAATTGATGTTATTTGCAGTCAACAACGTGTGTGTGAATGAAATCAGAAACACATCCGACTAACGTGATGTTTGCTTACAGGAGGATCCGAGTGGGGGGGCGAGCTGTCTAACGGATGGAGACAGGGACACTTACTGGGAGAGTGATGGGATGCAGGGGCAGCACTGGATCCGACTGCACATGAAGAGAGGAACTGTGGTCAAGTAAGAACCTGAAACTAAACTAGAATGATTTCTATGTTTTCATTAAACACAACTTGTTTTTAATATTCTGTGTGTTTCCACAGTAATTAATGGCAACTGAAGTGTGATCTAAGCTTTAATGAGGAAATATTTGTTTATTATCTTGTGTTAAAATGCTTGCAGTGTTGTTTTATGTGTCTCTAAACTTGTGTCTTTTCCCTGAAAGTTTGTGCACCCCTTAGTCTTGTATCTGCCTCCTTGCATTGTTAAACACAATCTATGTTTTTTTTTTTATTTAAACCTGGATATTTTTTGCCTTGGTAGTTTTATTGTCAAAATAATGTATTTTTTTAAAAGAGAATTATCATTAGCATTTTGATTTCACATCTGCAGCTCCGACTAGCTTGTGTTCAGTAATCTCCTGGTGCTCTTTGCATGTTTCTAAAGCCACACAGCCGGGTTTCTTAGCTGGTGTTTTGAATTTTTAGTGTTTCCTACAAAAAAAAAACAAAGCTTTATTTCCATCAAGGCCAGTTCTTCCAATATTAAAACACATACAGGTACAGACCGAGGTGCCGCATGGTGCTGACAGGCAGGGCAGGCAACTGATTGGGTCTTCCAGGCCACAGGGGGCCCCAGAGACACATTTTGAAGTTAGAACCACAAAAGCTGTGAAAAACGGTCATTTGACAGCCCTGTTGGCCGTCTGTCTCACTCCCTGACAGAGCTTTGTATTTTTCTCACCAGTAAACTGATTTTGACCGTGGACTCGACAGACGACAACTACATGCCGAAGAGAGTCACCGTTTATGGAGGAGAAGGAGACAATCTGAAGAAGCTGAGTGACGTCACCATAGACGAGTGAGCTTCCTTCAGAAATATTTATAAAATTTTTCAACTGTTTTCCCACTAATGGAGTCGGATAAGTCTTAAAGTTTCAGGTTCACGTTCCATCTACATATTTATTTGTTATTATTATTGGTTATAATCTGATAATGTCTAATTTTCTTGGTAACTCTTGTCTGCTACTTTTATTACAGCAGAAATGTTAGAATTTTTCTAATTTTGTTCTTTTTTTGTTTTATCTTTTAGCAATCTGATAGGAGAGGTGTGTGTCCTGGAGGATATGACCTTTCACCTGCCTGTTATTGAAGTTCGAATTGAAGAATGTAGAGGTCAGCTTTTATTAATTTTTTTTACAGGATCTTTATTAACTTTGAGGACAAAATATTACCAGTATGAAGGTTATTTAAGGCTTTTTAGGTTTTCATTTTTCATTTCGTAAGCTTTGAGCAGCGTTTGTGTGTTTGAACCAGTGATAGTTGGGAGCGCAGGTCTCTGCTGCTGTTATTTAGCCAGTTTGTAAACAAATGTTTTTGTGACTATTTTCCCCTTCCTTTGCTTTTACAGATGAGGGTATTGACGTACGGATTCGAGGTCTAAAAATCAAGTCCTCGTGTGAGAGGGACCTGGGTCTGAACGCTGATGTTTTTCAGTCCTCTAACCTGGTGCGATACCCGCGTCTGCAGGGCACCCCGCCTGACGTCCTGTACCGCAGAGCGATCGTTCTCCAGAGGTGGGCCGGTTCTTAAAGAATTGTTTTAGCAGCTGACACCAGGATGGCTGTCTTCAGCTCCCTGTTTATATTTCATGCAGCCTTTAAGCAGCAGCTGGTTTTATCTGGTTTTTGTGCAGGTTCATCGTCCTTCTGGACAATGTGCTGCCTCACCTGGTACCAGCCTGGGACTACAGCCTGGGAACGTTCAACCAGGTTAAAGTGAGCCATCTTAAAGCTTTTAATAAATGATTCCAAAAACATAACAGAGGTCAAAGGGACGTTTTAAACTGACAATAAAAACATGAATGATTTAGTTTTAAATGTCAGTAACTAGTCAGTAAAAACAGCTGATGGTAATAATAATAATACATTTTATTTCAACCGTGCCTTTCTAAACACTCAAGGACACTTTACAGACAGATTAAATACACAACAATAAAAAATAGAACAGCATAAAACAAACGGACAGATTGGAGTAAAGAGCGAGATTATTGGAATGCTAGACGGAACAGGTGGGTTTTGAGTCTGGTTTTAAAGAGAGTGAGGGAGTCGATGTTACGGAGGTCAGGAGGGAGTGAGTTCCAGAGCTGGGGAGCAGAGCAACTGAAGGTCCTGCTCCCCATAGTGACCAGACAGAAAGGTGGTACAGAGAGGTGGATGGAGGAGGAGGACCTGAGGGAACGGGTGGTGGTTGAGGGTTGAAGGAGGTCTGAGAGGTACGGGGAGCAAGGTTATGGATGGCTTTGAATGTATGTAGCTGAATTTTGAATTGGATTCTGGAAGTGACTGGGAGCCAGTGGAGCTGCTGAAGAACAGGGGTGATGTGGTGGAAGGAGGGAGTTCTGGTAATGATGCGGGCTGCCGAGTTCTGGAGAAGTTGGAGTTTATGGAGTGATTTGTGAGGAAGACCAAAGAGAAGAGAGTCGCAGTAATCAATTCGGGAAGTGATGAGGCTATGGACAAGGATGGCGACCGAGTGAGTAGTGAGGGAGGGGCGTAGGCGGTTAATGTTGCGTGGATGGAAGTAGGCAGACCGGGTAATATTGTTTATGTGGGAGAGTCTGCGGATGAAAAATATTGCACATTATTGAGAACAGAGTCCTGGAGTTGCCTTCATTGGAGGAAACCAATCCAGAGTAGAAAGCAGATTTTGTATGTTTAATAGAGTCCAAGTATTGAAGCAGATGAGTTTTGTGCATTTCTTTGTGTATTGCAAGACCAGTTCGTTTATGGAGGCGTTCGAGTTGACGTCCTTTGGCTTTCATCTGTCGGAGTTCAGGGGTAAACCAAGGGGCAGAGTTAGTAAAGGACACGGACAGAGTGGTAGAGTGTATTTCCTGGACAAAAATGCAGAATAGCTCAAAACCGTCTTTTCAGTTTTCATTCGTGTGTGTGTTTGTGTGTTTGTGTTTGGCGCCCTCTAGAGCATAAAGCAGTTCCTTCTGCTGTCCAAACGTCGCTCCGCCCTCATCACTCAGTGCCTGAAAGACTCAGAGACCAGTAAACCAAACTTTATGCCTCGACTCTACATCAACAGGCGTCTGGCCATGGAGCACAGAGATAACCCGTCTCTCGACCCCAGCTGCAGGAACGCAGTGTTCAGTCAGGTAGAAATTTTAAATATTCATTAACTTCATTGTCAGGAGAACAGGAATACCTCAGATGTTTGTTCTGATCTTTCCCGCTGCAGGTGTATGAGGGCCTCAAACCGTCTGACAAGGTTGAAAAGACTTTGGACTACAGGTGGATCTTCTCAGCCTCACAAATCTGTAACTTCCTGTCTGAACTGGTTCATGAATCAGAACATAATCTTAATTTCTCGTGACCCAACAGATGGCCCTCCCGTTATGATCAGTGGTGGGAGTGCAAGTTCATCGCAGAGGGAATCATCGACCAGGGAGGAGGATTTCGGGACAGCCTGGCAGACATGTCGGAGGAGCTTTGCCCCTGCTCAGCCGAGTGTCCTGTGCCTTTGCCGTTCTTCACCAGAACCTCCAATCAGGTAGGCATTCCTAATCGACCCCCCATCCTGTGTCCTCACGCTCCTGAAACTGTCTGCTTGTCTGTCAGGGTGCTTTAGAGGCCAGAGATTACTACGTCCCCAACCCGTCCTGTAAAGACTTCCAAAGATACGAGTGGATTGGTCAGCTAATGGGAGCTGCTCTCAGAGGGAAGGACTTCCTGGTGAGCGACCTTTACTCTTCGCTTAATGAGGGATTTCTGTCATTAAAATTGTAATAAAGAGACACATTTCTGGAACTTTGTGGGAGATTTAATCAAAGTATTAAAGATTTAAGGCTGAAAAACTGCAAAGTGATAGTTACTAATGCAGTATGAAGAATAAAATGTTCCAAACGGGTAAAAGAAGAGAAAGCAATGTTTTAACTTGTCTTATTGGTTTGTATCGATTCAGTGTTCTAGATTTATCACAGATGTTTTATTTTTTACTCTTGTGTGTTTTTCCTGCAGGTTTTGGCTCTGCCAGGGTTGGTGTGGAAACAGCTGACGGGAGAGGCCGTCAGCTGGAAGAAAGACTTTCCTGCTGTCGACTCGGTGCTGGTGAGGTCATTTGAATAATATTCAAGCTGCTGGACGGGCATTAATGTTTAAATCTTCATCCTCTGGAGGAGCAAGAATCTCTTAAAAGTGTTTATGCATCTGTAGAAAAACTGTCTGTTTATTATGTATTTTATATTTTATTAATTGCATTTCTGTGATCTGTTGCTTCTTTTTTTTTAAACTAAATTTTGCCAGATTCTGTTGTTTATTTGTTTTAAATGAAGTTCTCACGATTCTTCTTTCATGGTTTATGTTTTTCTGTGAAACTGGAACCCATCTGTGTTCAGGTGAACTTGCTGGAAGCCATGGAGAACATGGACAAGGATACCTTTGAGTTCAGGTTTGGCGAGGAGCTGGTCTTCACAACCCCACTGATCGACGGCCAGATCACCGAGCTCGTCCCCAGCGGCAGCAATGTCTCCGTTCGATACGAGGACCGGAAGGAGTTCATCCGCCTGGTGCAGAAGGTTCGGCTGGAGGAGAGCAAGCAGCAGGTGGGAATTGAAACTTGTCTGAAACCCTTTTGTTGATTTTAGCACACAAAGCATGTCTGATTTATGTGGGTTTATTTTTTTTTAAATATGTGCTGCAGATTGCAGCCATGCAGGCAGGGCTGCTGAAGGTGGTTCCTCAGGGTGTTCTGGACCTTCTTACATGGCAGGAAGTGGAAAAGAAAGTGTGTGGGGACCCAGAGATTACTGTGGAAGCTCTTAAACGCCTCAGTGAGTTGCCAGCTTAACAAGTTATTTTCAGTTATTAGACAAAACAGGGAATGTTCTGATACTGGGAAACAAGTCTGATAAATGTCAAATGATGCACACTTTTGTTTGCAATTAAATACAAAGATGCAGAAACTAATGATTGAGTTTTTTTTAATCTCCTCATCAGCACGTTTTGAAGACTTGGAGCAAAGTGATGTCAGAGTGCAGCACTTATGGGAGGCTCTAGCAAACTTCACCAACGGTTAGAGATGCATATTTCAGAGCAGCAAACATATTTTACCACAAAATTTCTGAGTTTATTTTTACCAAATCAAAAGTTAAGAGGAATAAACTCACTGATTTTCTGTTTTTAGAGGATCGCAGCAGGTTTCTGAGGTTTGTAACTGGTAGAAGTCGACTTCCTGCACCGATCTACATCTTTCCAGACAAACAAGGGTGAGTATGAGCTCACCTCAGCCAACATTTAATAATATAGAGCAGGATTTGTTGTTGATTAGGCAAAGATTTAGTTACAAAGCAGGTATTTTCAACCTGTCCTCTGCTTTCTAATACAGCACTGAAACAACTGATGCTCTTCCTCAATCTTCCACATGTTCCAGCATCCTTTATTTACCCAACTATCCAAGGTACAACAAAGTATTGTTTCTGAACCCAACTGCACTTCTTTTTAAATGCTTTTTGGTTTAAGACCCATGAGATTGATTTCCCATTCCTCCTTTTTTTCTGCAGTGCAAAGGTTTGCGAGGAGAAGCTACGATACGCGGCTTACAACTGTGTGGCTATCGACACCGACATGAGCCCCTGGGAGGAGTGATCTCTCAGCTGCTTCACCAAATGCTGCATGTTCACAACAAAAAATCACAACCTGTCAAGAGAAATTTCACCAAATCCTCACAACTGTCTGTTAGCATTTGCTTTATGTGTTTAAGGACGTATGTAGAAACATGAAGTGACTGATTGAGACTTTTGTTTATTTGAATAAAAGCAAACGTTGATTTTAACAAAAAAATCTTAATGTGATGACATTTTTTGCAGCCATTCATCTTTCACTCACTAACTTTCACATAAGTTCTCAGTGAACGGTTAGGTGGGAATCAATCTGAAAAAAGCTTAGATAAGCCTTGAAAAATTCTGGAGAACAACTGTGGAAGAAGAACCTTTTAAAATGTGTAGATTCTTAGAAGGAAGATGACAAAAAATAAATCACTTTTTTTTTTCAATAAATTACAGGAAAAAAAGCAGAAATGTATTTTAAAAATAGATTAGACCTATTTTATTTTCTTATAAGTAATTATTTTAAGTTGACAATTCAGTGAAACTTTATTTAAAAATCTCCTTCCTACCCCCAATCAAGGGGACCCAAGGCACTGAAGTGTTAAGAATAATAAAAACACAATAAATCAGCTATATAGTAAAATGCAGAAATACAACATTTAACATGTTAAATGTTGCAAGTTCATTTTCTTCAGAATTGGACACATACCATTGTCCTTTTTTTATAAATAACAATTTTTAGATTATTTAAGAAAAGCAAAATTGTTCTGTTGTGCATACATGCAGTTTTTATTAGATTTATTTTGAAACTTGTTTTAACTGGAATAAAATTACTAAATATTTTTTAACTTGTTTAAAAACTTTAATGAAATTTTATTAAAGTTCAAATGATATAATTCTGTCAGACAGTAGTGCAGAGTTTTTTTTTATTTAAGAATAACAATGTACAGCTCATTAGAATGAGAATTTTTTTTAATCGTAAGAATTTTTCTGCACCTGCATTAATTAAAAGTGAAGCTGTCATTAGTCAAAATTAACCTTAAATTAACTGCCAAAAATACATTTTAATTTAAATATTTAGCACGATTCAAGTTTTCTCTACCATTTATCTGAACAATTATATTTTTAAAACAAAAGATAAAATTTGTTTAAACAGAAAATAACGTTTACTGCTGTGTCAACTCTCGCGAGAATCTGAGGCTTCAAACCTTCCCATGAGCCTTTGCGGGACCCTCTTTCTAGCCGGCGCCTGAGAATGGGTACGTGTTTTTCTTCTTCACTTGGAGGCAGAATCTTTTGCCATCTGATGATATAAAGAAGGAATAATCTTGCTAAGGATAACAATGTGGATGCCAAATATTTTATAAAGTTGTGGTGCTTTATATTTGAGGTTTACAATGAGTGGGTAATGTTTTAACGAAAAGATTTTCAGCAGATGATCGATATGCTCCAAGATGGCTGTTCTCATCACCAATGTAGCTAGCTGTTGGTGCTGAAGTGCATAACTGTACATCTTGCGTAGATGTCTGTGAAGCTAAAGGTAATATAGCCGGTAGCAGAATTGATTTGTCAGTTTCAATGACTTTAATTTTAAGAGATTTCGTCCAACTGAATTGACGTTTTAATCTGGCGAAGACCTGTAGTTAGCACTAGCTAGTGTGCTACCTGGTCGTGTCATGCTGCTTTGATGCACATTATGAACAACAGTTACGATTTTCCTGTTTTCTCATGTTTTTATGTAACCTTTTGGATTCTAGCTGTTGAAAACCCACATTTGAAACGGTTCAGAAATGCTTGAGTGATGTGATGAAACTCTTAAGCGGAATCTAAATTCAAAATGTAGACAAACATTACCTTGGAGAACTGATCACTCAAGCTTAGAAAGTAAATACTTTCATTGAACGTCGTTTCAGGTACAATAATCTAGCCTTTGGTCGTGTTTCATTAATGTAGGTATTTCGAGGGACAACTGGCATAAACGCCGCAAGACCGGCGGCAAACGTAAGCCCTACCACAAGAAGAGGAAGTATGAGCTCGGGCGTCCACCTGCAAACACCAAGGTGAGCGGTGTGGTCTGTAGGGTTTGTTGTAAGAAACGTGAGTGATGAAAACCTGACCTTAGGTAGGCCCGTTTTTGTGCCGTTTTGGTGCAAAGCTTTGGGCTTACCAATGGTAGGACTTGTCATAGTTACACTGACACGCATAAGAACGTTACTACTGCTGTTGTACCACTGCTGCAGCTTTAAAAAGTAAAAAAACAAACAAACATACTTTTCCTTTCTAAAACAGATTGGAGCGCGTCGCATCCACACAGTGAGGGTCCGTGGTGGGAACAAGAAGTACCGTGCTCTTAGGTTGGATGCTGGAAACTTCTCATGGGGCTCTGAAGGTAAGTCTCCACATTTTGAAACCCTTCACTGCTGCACCTTTCACTGATGATAACTTTGTCCAGTTCTGCTACTGAGTGCTAGTGGTGATATCAAAGACTCTGAGAAAGACCTTCATGTACATATAATTTGTTGGTGACTTCTGGATATATTTGAGTTGGTGGTAACTCCTCATTCTTTGTGTTCAGGTTGCACGCGCAAGACCAGGATCATTGATGTGGTCTACAATGCTTCCAACAACGAGCTGGTCAGAACCAAAACCCTGGTAAAGAACTGCATCGTTCTCGTGGACAGCCTTCCCTTCAGGCAGTGGTATGAGGCCCACTACGCCACTCCTTTGGGACGCAAGAAGGGAGCTAAGCTGGTATGTTTTAAATCAGTTGGTTTAGTCAAGTGTAGTTTTATGAGTGCATAATAGATTTCTTTTTGCACAAGATTAGGCTAATTTATATGTGCCCTTCAAGTGAGTGGCTGTAGATTTACCTGGTTACTTAGTGATGTCATGTGAGAAGATGAGAAACATGAGGGCCTGCTGTCTTTCTATGATGATGAATGTTCAGTTCTGCTACTGAATGGAAGTGGTGATACATAAGACTCTGAGAAAGACTGTTGAGCCATTTAAATATGTGAATGTTAATATTGGTAATAAGGCATGTTTAAAATAGTTTTGGATTGAAGGGTTTATTTTATCGCATCCTCTAATAAGTTGGTGTCTATTTCTGCAGACTCCAGAAGAAGAGGAGATCCTCAATAAGAAGCGATCCAAAAAGACTCAGAAGAAGTACGACGAGCGAAAAAAGACTTCCAAAATCAGCACTCTCCTGGAAGAACAGTTCCTGCAGGGAAAACTGCTTGGTCAGTTTAACATTAGAATTATGGGCTCGACACACGGGAGGCGACAAACGACCGCGATCAGCAAAATTTGTCGCTTTTATTACCTGACGTACGGGAGGCGGCCAGCGGCAAATCCGTCTGCGCATTCTGTTCCATGATGAAATCGAAACTTCCGTTGTTTTGTTTGGCTGTGTCAGGTTGGAGGGAATTAAGGTTATTTAAGCGGATCAGAGTTAATAAAGCGATAGATATGTTTCACAAGGTGCTGTTATGTGAAAACTTACTTCTGATTTTAATATATAAAACAATAATAATCAACTTCTCCTTCATGTTTGCTCGGAGATGTACGGAGCATCCTGTCCGCTCATTGGTCAGTGAATGAAACCTCCGTTTATTGGTCCTCGTCCGAGCGACAGCGACGAAAAGTTGAAAATGTTTAAACTTTCTGGGATTGCGTCGCTTGTGCACGAGCGCAAAATTTCACACGCACGTTTTTCGCGTTTCGCTTGGTAGGAGGGAGACCCGCGATTATTGCTTTGTCGTGCATGTCTCATTGAAAATGAATGGAGGAGAGGCGATGTCGCCTCCCGTGTGTCGAGCCCATTAGTTTGCATGCTTTATTTCATTGTGCTTTATAAAATCCACCAAAAGTAAAATACAAACAAATTAAACAAAATCACTTCAGGAAGTAGTGGATCCACTGAAACTTGAAAGAGCAGAACATTTTGAAGTTTGTGTTTAAGTTACCAGATGTAGTAACTGGTTAATGAGCTCACCTGATTGTTCTTGATGTTTTACAGGTTGCATTGCTTCCAAACCTGGCCAGTGTGGCAGGGCAGACGGCTACATCCTGGAGGGCAAGGAGCTCGAGTTCTACTTGAGGAAAATAAAAGCAAAGAAAGGCAAATAAATGTCCAGCTGTTTGATATGCCAATAAAATTTATAAATGTCCCACACGACTGCTCCCAGAGTCCAGTTATTGAAAATAGGCATGTTGCTGCTGTTGTAGATGTAGTGTAAATTCTGTATTTCAGGGTTTAAGATTAAAAATGATGAGCAATTTATCCCAATTTATTTCTCAAAAAATAAATCCTTACACGTTTATGATTGAACATTTTAAAGATGACCACAGTTAAAAACATTGGTTATACCCCATGGGGAGAAAGATTTGTTAAAATTGAAATCGCCATCTGCTTGTAGATGAGCTGCTCTGCAGCACAGTTGTCTTGCTGCCCTGCAGTGTTGACATTTCCATGGTTGACAAGGTGGCTAAACTGTAAACACAAATTAGTTTGTAAGGGCCTTTGACACGTTGGAATAATTAGACTTAATCAAAGTTTGGTTTTTCTTGTAATTTTATTTTCAGCCATTAAATTTGTTTTATGGTTTGTAATGATTTGGGTCTTGGTGTATATCATTTCCTAATGTTCACCAATAACGTTTTTAGGTAGTTCACGTATTTTATACTGTTTTATAGACTTAAATTGATGAGTTTGGGTTAGGGGTTTGCAGGGGTGTCATTTTTGCGATTTAAATCCGGCCCGCGAGATGATTGTGTAAATCTATTTTCTGACTACGATGTAGTCTGAAAATAAGCTTTCATTTTTCAATTAAACTGCTGGTGAAAGCTAAAAGATATCAGGTATCAGGAGTCAGACATGCATGAAACTGATATAGCCATATGATCTGTGAATCAGTTATTTGAATTACTGAGGAATAGTCTGGGTTTTTTGTTTTGTATTTCACATTTTCAAATACGCTTCATGTGTTTTATTAATATTGATGTTGTGCTTAAACTATTTTAAATACAATGTCCTCAGGCTCCAGCTTTATTTAATGTTGATCGTATTAAAACAAAGAAAACAATCTAAAGCAGTTTTTAATTTATATATACTTTAATTTTACTGGTTTGGCCCACTTGGGACTAGATTTTCCTCATTTTGGCTCCTGAGCAAAACTGAGTTTGACACCCCTGATCTAAAGTTTCAAGTCTTGATCTGTGGTGTAACCGGAAGTTCCCTTTGCTGTTCAACTGTTGACTCCGTCATGTTCACTCAGGAGAATAAACAGCAGAGGTGAGTCTCGTTAGATAACTGGGACAAAAGTCACAGTGCGGGTGCGGAGAAATAACACGTGACCATTTCCGCTGCTCTGATTGGTTGTGATGATCACATTGCTGTAGAGCAGACGTAGCCATCAGTTTATGCTACAAGCTTCATCTGTGAGGTGACAATGCTTCTCAATAAGGTACATGACTCCGACTTTAAGGATAATTTAGCATGATCTTGTTATTGTACTTGCTTGTAACTGCCGTTCAGAACAGAAATTCTTATTTTTCCATTCAAATCCGGTGAACTTCAGGGGTTACGTCACAAGCTAGCTAGTTAGCAAAATGCTCCAAAAATCTGAATACATAACTTTTACCAAGGTCATAACTTCTAAGTATTTGGCTTTTCCCTCGTCCTTTAGGACACTTGTGCGTTTATATAAAATTACACACATGTTATGGACTTGTGTCTATTTTTTGCCAGTCTTAACGTCTCTGAAGTTGGTTTGTTTTTAATCATTTATTCAGTGGATCGTTTTTTAATCATGAACGTAAACAGAAAATCTGCGTCTTCACAAGCAACAGCTAGTAATGTTTGCGTGTTTGAATGAAAAGCTGCAAATCTGACGAGTTCCAATTTGATGAGCATGACATGAAAAACCACATTAGCTTTTTCTAGTCAGGTGGTCTTCTCTTGAAAGGACCCTGAACAGTAGAGCACCCGTTCTCTGATCTTTGTTCTGCCTTTTTATTATTTGAAACTAAGCTATTGAAGCTCCTTGAGCTTAACCAGCTCATTGCTTTGCCCAAAGGTTCACGTCTAAACGCTTCATTCAATGTAACACCTGCTCATTACAGCCAAGTCATTATAGTAAAACATAATATAGACGTTATAGTGTGTAACTCCACTAAACTATGTTTAATGATTCAGCTGTTTTTTTTTATATTTCTAATTCAGATTTCAATCTGTTATCTCTTTGAATGTCATTTGTCTTAATATCAGACTTTAAACAGATTTAATGTTGGAAGCAAGAAGCTTGTTTGTTTACAGATGTTTTATGTTAATAGGTGGTTAATATAATTTAGTAACAGGACTTTTTGAGTTCATATGGGAACTCCTATTGATGATGACCTCCCCTGGGATTTTGGGGGACTTAATCACCATTAATAATACTACCACTCAAATACTACCACTTACAACTACAATTCTTCCACTGTGTGTTTTTAATATTCTCTGGCCAAGTAAAATTTGCAGTCACACTTTGCTGTCCTGGTCCATTTTCCATGAGTTGATGTCTTTAGATGTGATTGTTTTTTTATTTAGTTTTGTGCTTATATTATCTGATCAAATACACCAGCTAGTAGTTTCTTTTGTTTGTTTTTTGAAAATTTTCAACTTTAAAGTGTGAAAACAACTTCAGTTTTGATCTTGCACAGGTCTTCAGAGCCAGTCTTCAGTCTGGGATTCGTCTGCAGAGCTCTGGCGTGACTGCAGCCAAAGCTGCAGCAGCTGGCCATGCAGGAGCACCTGGCTTTTCTTTTGGTTAGTGGGGTACAGTGTGTTTTTTAAATCACAGTCCTGTGGGAAGAAATTCTGTCCCTAAAAGTCTTTTCACTGTGGAGAAATAATTTTCTCCTATTCTGTAGAACTGACGGATCAGCAGAAGGAGTTCCAGCAGCTGGCGAGGAGGTTTGCTCGAGAAGAGATGATCCCTGTTGCAGCTGCTTATGACAGGAGTGGGGAAGTAAGAGCAGCAAACATGGGGCTAAAATGTTCATGTCCAATAAATATCACACTACTTTTAACATCAGAGTAGCAAGAGTCATGCAAAAGGTTCGTCACCTTTTAGGCCTTTGAGTTGTGTATTAGTTTAAACCTGTCGTTCCATCCTGAGAGCAACTGCCCTGCATGTTTTAGATTACCTAGACTTATGGGGTGTTTAAGGGGTTTCTGAAGAACTTGTGGACATGCTGCTTAGGTCATTTAGCTGTTAAATTGTGATGGAGCAGAAAAAATAACACTGACTCGACACTAGGGATGTGTATTGGTGAAATTAGGGTGATACGATACGTATCATGATAAAAGGGAGACGATGCAATATATCACAATATATTACAATACATTCAGACAATTGTAGCGCTTTTTTTAGACTGAATTTAATATAGAATTCAATTAACAGTCCAAACTGGTGTTTAACATGAGGTATCTGAACCATGTTACAGGGATTTACGCCGGGGACACACTGGCCGCGGAAGCGCCGCGAAAATGGGACCGCCTTCATTCGGCGCCCTTGTTAAGCTATTCTATAGACCACATGGGCCGCCGAAGCGCCGCGAATTGCCTCGCGCCGGCGCTCAAGGCCGCGCCGTGCAGCGATCATTTCGGCGTTGGCTCTATTTTTTTCGCGAGCCGCGGGTGAATCGCGTCAATTCTGGCATGATTATTTACGTCCCATTTCGGAAGAAACTGCTAGGATACAGCGTGATACGTGATCCAGAATTGGAGCGGGTTCCAAGAGATTCAACTGGCAGAAACAACTCATACCATAGGTTCACACACACACACACACACACACACACACACACACACACACACACACACACACACACACACACACACACACACACACACTCAAACGTAGAGGAAAAGAGCTGAGAAAAGGCAGAGAGGAAATGGAGGACACCAAGTGTTTAAAAGAAAAACTACAGCTGAGCCGAGGCGCGCCTCGACTGGGGCGCGCCTGATCTGAACTGAGGAGCGGCGATCAGCGGCCGAATTTCGTGAGCGATTCGCTTCTCGGCGCTTCCGCGGCCGGTGTGTCCCCGGCGTTACATTTCAATGGTGGAAACAAAACCAACTGCACACTGCTGCCAACTAGCGGTTGATGTTTGAATTGCACACAAAAAAAAGAAAATACACAAATGTTTTAATGTAAATTCTTCCCAAAATTAGATATGCGGCTTTTGAATATTGATATAATATTGCTAGAAAATATATCACGATATATTGACAACAATGAAGCAAAGAAACAGATCTTTGAGTTTGTTAGTAATTTTATTTATTAGGTGCATCTAACCTGTTCTATTTTTCTCTGAAATGAGATCAAATCAGTGCTTCTATGGGTTGTATCCTCTCTGCACTAGAAAAATTTACTTTACTATAATGTTCACTGTAATACATCTTGAAATCAAAGATATTGGTCAATAATGCCAAATTTGTGTTTCAGTCATTTTTATACTGGCTTAAAAATAATTCATTAAGTCTACCAAGCAGGGGTGAAGAATGTTTTCAATAGGGCCAGCCCAGTAATGATCTTGGACCAAAATAAAGGGGGCAGAAAGTCAAATAAAGGGGGGCAGAAGATGTTTTTCCAGACGCCAAGAAAAATTAAATACCAAATCCCCCCTGCAAAGTGTGTCACTGAGAGTTTAAAACAAAAATTATTTTTGTGCAAATATTGGTGTACTCACCTTTAATACTAGTTATTAAAATGCAGCAGTTGATGGACTGGTGCTGATCAAAGTGGAGTGCATCAAATAAAACAATATTAACATAAAGGTGAAACGTGTCATCATAATGATTTATCCTTGTCTAAATAATATTCTTACTGATGAAATCAGAAAATGTATAAACAAGTAGAAATTACATTTAAGTAATAAGTAATTTTCATAACAACTGCACTAGTAGGACTTTAGCATGAAGGTGTCTCCATCCTTCAGTGCTAACCCTGACCAGCTTTCAACAGTTAAACCTTTTTGTCTTTTTACAGAAACTCAAAAAAGGCTTTTAGGCTAATTAAATTAAAGGTGTGATTCCCTGAAAAAAAAAACATTTTATTGATTATTTCTGATAATGAGTCTCTGAGTTTTTCATGCAAACTGAACATGAAAATAGTCTCCTACACCTATCTCCTGCATTAGCATCTGATAGAAAGCAGACGGTGAAACTCTAGGATAGAAAATCCTGACAGATCTATGTCACGCTGTCACTTAACATTCATGGACTCACCCATCTTGACTCACAATGGTGAAGGCTGTTGTTTGTTTAGCATCCAGGAAACAGCAGAGAACATCTCGACTAGTAGACGCTAACTGTTAGCATTAGCAACTCCACCACACAGCAAAACTCCTTCAGGCTTGTGTTTTTTATGGAGGTAAAACATCAACATTGCAAATCAATAGTAGAGTAAATTTTTCTAAGCAAAATCCCTAAAAAGGAACAATAGATATGTCAGGGATTCAAACCCTTTATAGAATGTAATCGTGCCTTTTAGGTGGTGCTAGATCCAGTCCTGCTGCTGTGTGTTTCAGCCATGACGGTTATCTCTAATGAGAAACTTTAAAATGCTTTTTTACAGTATCCATTCCCCATCATTAAGAAGGCATGGGAGCTCGGCCTGGTGAACGGTCACATCCCACAGGAATACGGTGCGCTTCTTGTGCTTTTTAAACAACACACGCTGTCTTTTCTTTATTTTTATGCATCTTGTTTGTGGATAACTGTTTCTGACGAGCTGGCGGATTAACGTCTGACCCACTGCTGCACCTGCCCTTCTTGTCTCAGGTGGATTGGGTTTGTCGATCTTCGACAGCTGCCTCATCACAGAGGAGTTGGCTTACGCCTGCACAGGAATGCAAACCGCCATCGAGGCCAATTCTCTGGGAGTAAGTCTCACAGCAGTTAACACACGTGAGCGTGGCCACAGATTTCTGGTGGCACAATAAACCTTTGTCTCTAACTCGGATCAATAAAACGAAGCTTTGTCTGGAAATGTTAGTATTATCCCACAAAACCTTTGTTTAGATGTAGTTTCCAGGGCCGGTTTTGCTGTTGAATCTATTTCTGCTCTAGTTTGATGTACCTCCCTAATGAGTGATGAATGTTATAGCTCCGTTAGAATGAACTTCATACTGTTTCTGCCACGCAGCAAATGCCTGTTATCCTGGCTGGCAGCGATGCACAAAAGAAGAAATATCTGGGCAGGATGACGGAGGAGCCGCTCATGTGTGTAAGTGTGTCCTTCAGCGTTTTCTGCTTCTCTAGTTTTCAGACGGTAGTACGAGCCACCGTGGTCGCTGGTCACAGGATGTTCTTCATGTGTCCGGACTGGTTTTTGTATCTTTAATGATCTTTTTACAACCTGCCATCAACAGAAACAAAGACGAAGCTGTCGCAGGGTGGATTCGGTCTTATTGATAAGATTTCTTTTGTTCTCGTTAGGCGTACTGTGTGACCGAACCCGGGGCGGGTTCTGATGTGGCCGGTATAAAGACCCGAGCTGTGAAGATGGGTGACGAGTATGTCGTTAACGGGCAGAAGATGTGGATTACTAACGGAGGGAAAGCTAACTGGTCTGTGTTTACTGCATTTTAGGCTTTTATTGCAGTTTTCTTTTTACATCTACTTATTTAATTATTATTTATCTCAGGTATTTCCTCCTCGCCCGAACCGAAGCTGATCCCAAATGTCCAGCTAGCAAAGCTTTCACTGGCTTCATTGTAGATGCAGACACTCCAGGAATTCAACCAGGAAGGAAGGTAGGATGGGATTCTTATTTTCTGTAAGGAAACATCACTTAGTTTGACACATTTAAGCCTTTCCATTAGCTCTCAGGTTCATTTCTTTAAATTTTCTCGCTAACAGAGGAATCTTATATTTGCTTTTGCCCCTGCAGGAGATGAACATGGGCCAGAGGTGCTCTGACACCAGAGGCATTACGTTTGAAGATGTCAGAATACCCAAGGAGAACGTCCTGATCACAGAGGGAGCTGGTTTCAAAATCGCCATGGGTGCCTTTGACAACACCAGACCACCAGTAGGTTCTCCAGCTGGAGCCAGCATCTATCAACCACACTTAATGAGTTTGTGTCCAAGTTGCTAATTGAAAACATGGAAAAAACTTTATTTGCCGATCTTTGATTTGTGGTTCACGTCCTCCAGTGGAATCCTCAGAGGTAACTGAAGTATGTTTTGGCTAATTACTGTACTTGATGCTGTGCAGGTAGCAGCAGGAGCAACAGGTCTGGCACAGAGAGCGCTGGATGAAGCCACTAACTACGCCCTGGAGAGGAAGACATTTGGCAAAGCGATTGCTGAGGTTTGTTTTTAATGAAATCCTTTAATAGAAATGCACCTGACAAGATGGGTAAACTGTTTGTGTCTGGCAGCATCAAGCCGTGTCGTTCCTGCTGGCTGAGATGGCCATGAAGGTGGAGCTGGCCCGGATGGCGTACCAGCGGTCCGCTTGGGAACGGGATCAGGGTCGCAGAAACACTTATTACGCCTCCATCGCCAAGGCCTTCGCTGGAGACATCGCCAATCAGGTGGCTTCTGATGCCGTTCAGATTTTTGGAGGCAACGGCTTCAACAGCGAGTACCCGGTGGAGAAGCTGATGAGGGATGCAAAGATCTACCAGGTGGGTGTTGCCTTTGCATGCAGGTGAAGCTGGAGGCTTTCATTTTAAATTGAATCTGTTCTTTTGTAGATCTATGAAGGCACAGCTCAAATCCAAAGGCTCATCATTGCCAGAGAACACCTAGGAAGATTCCAGAAATGAAATCAGCTGTTTGACTTTTCTTCTTCTGCATTTAAATATTGTACTTTGGATATAAATAAGCTCCTGTCAAACTAATCTGGCCTCAGGATGCAGCTCTAGATGTTGTTTGCCTTAAAACGGATTCATTCTGCTCTGCAGTATCAAACAAGTTCAGACCACGAAAAGGAAACATTTTTAAGACATAAATAATCGTGTTGTTTCCAGTTTAGCACATTTTGTACAAAAACATCTTTTGAATGTGAAGGAAAGAGAGTCTGTTCAGGTTGGAAATGATCATCAGCAGGATACAAATAAATGTGTTTAGAAGGAAATCTGTTTCTGAACTAAAACTGTTGCAGTTATTCTCGTTCACGAGTGTTTTGTTGATAAAGATGTTTTTTTTAATGAAAATCCGGTTGAAGGTCAAAGTTCAGACTTGGCTCACACCTTTGTGATTTTTGTTAACTTGTCTTCATGCCTGTAGTCATGCCTTAAACACACAACTGACTCTGGTCAAATGTGTAAAGTTGTATAAATTCATTTAACACTAGAATGTGTGGAAGTAATTCTGCATGCTGTCAGCCAGTTCCACTCAGCAGACATTATCAACATTATGGTAAACTTCTGCACACTTGCTCACTAATGTTGGATGTAATGCTGTATGATTTTTCTGAGCCGTCCACTTAATAAATTCATTCTGGATTATATGGTTTGGTTTTATGGATGTCGGTCATTCTTTTGGATGAGTGAACAAAGGAAATCCTAAATGTATTAATGAAAAAAAAAAACTGATCACCATTATATGTACTGATTGTAAACAAACATTTAACGCTTTAAATGTTAGTCATGTTACATTTTTACGTATTTGTAGCCGTTTTTAAATCTAGTTTCTGTTAAAACTTTACTGATGTATTTCCTGAAGAATAGGTGTTTTAAATATGATAGCTAATGGTATAATTTAAAGGAAGCTTTTTGATGAATAAGTAAAAGTTTATTTATATAGCGCCTTTCACAGATATAAATCACAACATGATAAAGATCAGAGCAAATACCTCTAACCAATAAAAACATCTGAAAAACAATAGCAGTGATAAACGTAGAAAATAAAATCATGAGTATAAACAAAGGGAAGGTGTGAACTCGAACAAAACCATCTTTTTGAAACATTTAGGGAGGTAACGCCTGGATGAAAAGGTGAGTTTTTAGATGATTTTTAAAGACCTCTACAGTGTTAGAGAGACGGAGATTTGAAGGTAGACTGTTCCAAAGTCTGGGGCCAATAGTCTGAAAGGCCCTGTCCCCTTTGGTTTACAGTCTGGTTCGAGGAACAGCCAGGAGGTTTTCAGATGTGGATCTAAGTTCCGAGAGGTGATGTGTGGGGATAAAAGCTCAGATAGGTAGCTTGGAGCCTGGTTGTTAAGAGCTCTATAGGTCAGGAGGACTAAAACTTTAAACTGTATTCTATATTCTACCGGGAGCCAGTGGAGGGACTGTAAAACTGGAGTGATGTGAGCTCGTCTGCTGGATTTGGTTAGGAGTCCAGCTGCTGCATTTTGGATGGCTTGAAGGCGTGAGAGGGAGGTTTTGCTGAGACCAGTAAAAAGAGCGTTACAGTAGTCTAAGCGTGATGACACAAAGGCATGGATGATTTTTTCCAGATCTGCAGTAGAAACCAGTTTACGGACTTTTGAAATGTTTCTCAGTTGAAAGAAACAAGAGCGGGAGATGGTTTTGACGTGAGTCTAAACTTAAAGCTGGATCAAAAATAACTCCTAGGTTTCTAATGTTGGCCTTGGCTGATGGGCAAAGTAAAAGTAAAGTAAAAGTAACTTTTCCAGTTTTTTCCCTAGAATAGTTACATATTTTTACTATACTATCACTAAAAGTACAAATACAAAACACTTAGTATTTTTGATTTCAAAACCGCACAATAAATAACTCAAATTGATATTTTGTTCTTGTAATACTTCAATCAAACCAGAAGGTGGCGGTAAAGTCTGAAACTATACGACATTTAAAACCGTAGAAGAAGAAGGCCGGAAGTAGCTTGACCATGCAAAATATGTCAGAATGGTAATCCGTCACTTGTTCTTCTGTGCTTTAGAGCATCGTTTTATAATTAAAGTGTGTGTAAATGTTATCTTGTCTTCTTTATTTAAATGCTGTGCCGAAGTGGATGCTACCCTTGTTAGCATTTAGCAGCTAGTCATAACAATGTGTCCTCCTGTATTCGTTTAACTACAGCGTAGTTGTGTCTTGTGACCGTTTCTGTTGTGTTTTTGTCAGAGTGCTCAACTAAAAGATGTCATCATTAAACCTGACGCTCCCAGCTGGCTGCTGCTGGACAAACATGCAGATTACATCGCTGCCTACGGGTCCAAGAAGGACGACTATGTGAGTGACGTTTTATTTACACTTAGTTTGTAGGATTTGTGTCGTCTCGTTTTTATCTGCCTCTGTCGATAAAACCTCGTTTCAGAAGTTTTAAACGTTTTATTTATTTATTTTGGGTTAAGATAAAAGATGCATTCAGGTGTTTTAAAAGGTAAGTTTTTTGTCCCAATTTTCCACAAAGTATATTAAAAAAGACAGAAAATGCTTTAAAGAAACCAAAGATGTACATTTTAAAAAATAATTATAAGACTAAAGAGACGGCCCTCACGTCTCATGAGCACCCACATCAGTGGGGATCTCCCCTGGACCCAAAACAGATTGCCAAGAAGGCAAAATTTTGAACTGCCCTCCACAACTCTCAGCAACTACAGCAGCCTGATCATCTGATTCACTGGTTAAGATTGTGTGCACAAATAAGAAATTTTACTTTGGTTTAACGGGTTTTTGCAACAGGAATTAAATAATGTTTTAAACCCAAAATCAAACTGTACCTGGTCTTTGGTGTTAATGAAATCTGACACCTCTGTGCTGCAGGAGTACACACTGTCAGAGTACCTGAGGATGAGCGGTATCTACTGGGGGCTGACGGTGATGGATCTGATGGGTCAGCTGCCCAGGATGAGCCGTCAGGAGATCATAGACTTCATCAAAGCCTGCCAACACGAGTGTGGAGGCGTCAGCGCCAGTATTGGACATGACCCACACCTGCTGTACACCCTCAGCGCCATCCAGGTGACACAAAGCCTCATTATAATAAATCACAAATGCTAAGGATGTGAGGAAAACTCAGATGAGCTAAACGATCACATGTGTTTTTCTTTAAGGTTTTTAGTTGACATCTTTTTATTTTTACACGTCTTTCTCAGATCTTGTGCTTGTATGACAGCCTGGATGCGATCGATGTTGACAAAGTGGTGGAATATGTGAAAGGGCTTCAGCAGGAGGATGGCTCTTTTGCAGGGGACAAATGGGGTGAGCGAGCTTTACTCTCTCTTTCATTTAGAGTAAAAATAAAAAGTCATTTTCACAAAGCAAAGCAGCTCTTTAGAGAAACCTGCACAACAAACTCTTAGATGTCTGAGAATAAGGAGCTGCATCTGGAATTGTGCACAAGCTTTAACTATAAGATTATTTAAAGATCTTTATCGTAACTGAAGTTTTCGTTCTTTTCAGGAGAAATAGACACACGCTTTTCTTTCTGTGCGGTTGCTACGCTAGCGTTACTGGTACGTACGGGTTTGTCTGAAAATAACCGTAATGCAGGCTGAACCAACAGTTCTGTGATAAAACTCACTCAGTTGCATCTTTTTTCCTGATGTCTGTGAACTTTTTAAAGGAGGTCGTGAGTTTGTTATTTAGTCAGATTAACCATACCTCTGAAGATTACTTTCTAGTCTTCATCTGTCCTTTCCCAGGGGAAAATGGACTCGATAAACGTAGACAAGGCGGTTGAGTTCGTCCTGTCCTGTATGAATTTTGATGGAGGTTTTGGCTGCAGACCTGGTTCAGAGTCTCACGCTGGTCAGGTGAGTTTTTGTCCCCAAACAACAATGTAAAAAAACCTAAAGGTTCAATTTATAATAGAATGAAAAATCTTCTGACATTAAACCCCCTGTTGCTTTTTTACGCTTTCATAAGATTTACTGCTGCACTGGTTTCCTGTCGCTCACTGGCCAGCTGCACCAGCTGAACGCCGACCTGTTGGGCTGGTGGCTCTGTGAGAGGCAGCTGCCATCTGGAGGCCTCAACGGGAGACCAGAGAAGGTCTGCCACCTCCTGATGATGTTTGGTTTTAGATTTGTTTGGAAAAATGACCAAAGAAACCCTTTTTTTAAGACTTGTCTTTAATCAAACCTCCATCTGACGCAGCTCCCAGATGTTTGCTACTCGTGGTGGGTTCTGGCATCGCTGAAGATCATCGGCCGGATCCACTGGATCGACAAAGCCAAGCTGCGGCGGTTTATTCTGGCCTGTCAGGACGAGGAGACGGGAGGTTTTGCAGACCGACCAGGAGACGTGGTGAGACGTGTTCTGAAAAGCAGAGCTCAGATTTTCCTCCAGTGTTCTGAATGTTCTGGTCTCTCCTCTGCAGGTGGATCCTTTCCACACTCTGTTCGGGATCGCCGGTCTCTCTCTCCTCGGCGACGAGCAGATCAAGGCAGTAAATCCGGTTCTGTGCATGCCGGAGGACGTCCTGCAGAGGGTCCACCTGCAGCCCGACCTCCTCAGCTAGCCCATCATCATCCTCACAAACACCGCTACCCTCACATAAACTCCCCTCAGCTGGAAGCAGGAAGTGGATCCGGACTCATCTCTGTTTCACTCTTCGGCCTTAATCCTTCCTCTGCTCACGTTTCTATCCAGCGTATCGTGTTTCAGCTGTTGAAGTTTAAACATAATTTAAAAACACATTCCTTACACTTAAATGCATCACTTCCATCAGCTGCAGCTAAGAATTAATATTATTGTTTATGTGGAACTTTGGATTCAGCCGGGAGGAAAAAGTGTTTTTGGCACCTTAAACTCTTAGCAGTTACGTAGCTGCTTTTTAATCATAAAAGGCGTTTTTATGAGCAGCAAGAGCGATGTGGAGGACACTAACGGTGTTTGCAGCAGACAGGCTTTCTGGGAAACCTAACTAAACAATATTCTACGTTTACAGCTTTATTCACTATTTATTAAACCTATTCACAGCTCTCTAAGGATTCTGGGAAATTTCTGTTAAACATTTGAGTCGTAAATTCTTCACTTTTATTGTCTTATTGTCAAACGTTTGTTTTGTTGTTGTGAACTGATCCGTGTCCGTTGGTACAGAGTAAATAAATCACACCAGTGTTCAAATTTCTAGTGTTTTTTTTTTCTGATTTAGAAGCCAAACATTGTTCCAGTTACAGATCTGATAACTTATGTTCACTAAGACAACTTGAGATCGGTTTAGAAATGAGCTTCACATCAATAGGAAACTTGTTTATGTTATGTTTTTCACTATTTTACTGCAGACACTCAGTAACGTTCTCATATTTGTATTCAGCGTTAAAAATCACAGTTTTAAGATATTCAACTTTACTATAATAAGTTTGATTGCAGAAGTTTCTGTTTTACACAAATAAAAAACTAATCAGTTTGGATGTTGAACTTTTTCTTAGGTACAGGTATTTTATGAAGCGGTGTTTGGCTCGTTAATAGTAAAAATGATCAAATATGTTCATCTAGAAGCTTTTAAACAAGCATTGATGGGTTTGTAATCTAAAGCTTAAAGAGCAAGTCACCCCCTACCAGATTCGTACTCAACTCCCACTTCCTGTTTGAAAAATGCAACAAATGCTGTTGCCCAGCAGACCGAGAGGGCGGAGCCGCTAACAAATACAGGGTACCTCTTAGCCAATAGCGATGGCAGATTTAAATTCAAATGCAGTGCAGAGTTTTTACCTGACAGTTTTAGGCAGAAAATTAAAATTTTAACAAGAAATGCACTAAAGTGTTAAACTATTGACTACACGTGTCTGCAGCACAATTAGACACGCATTTATATAGTTTATTCGAAAAAAAAAGTTGATTTGGGGGTGACTTGCTCTTAAAACATAATGTACATAAAAGCTTTTCAGTTATAAATGTTCTTTAAACTACTTTGATACCTCCGTTATTAAACTGTGTTTGATGTGGTTGCAGATTTAGTAAAACTAAATTACTTCTGTAACGTTTCTCCCTGAGGCTGCAGAGGCGGCTGTGGTTTACCTCCAGATGGCTGCTCCATCACCTGTGGTGTCCAACTCTGGTCCTCAAGGGCCACGCACCTGATTTTAATCAGTAGGTGATTAACAGGCTTATGCAGAGCCTGATGAGCAGCTGAACAGGTGATTCAACCATGTGACGAAGACCGTTGGAGCAGGGAAACAACTAAAACATTACAGGATACGGACCTAGAGTTGGACACCACTGGTAAAAGTCATCAAAATGGTCCACAGTTTTTAATGTTTGATGCGTTTTTCCACTCGGCGTGTCCAACATACACTATTTAAACGAAAAGGTCATTGATGAGCTTGTGAACCAGGGACCACATTAGATTTAGCAAAAATGATGCTGTTACTCTGTCCAGTTTGAGCAATTTTAGGGTTAATTGGGAAGCAAAGACCAGTAGAATAATTTCTATCAAAGAGATAATGTGATTTCTTTTTTCAGAGGCAAAATGGAAGTTGGGATCACTGATATGTAAAAACACCACACAGCTATAATAAATGTTAACATAATCAGCTCCTTTACCACAAAACAAAACATTGTGTGAGTCTCTCACTAAAAGTGAGCCACCTCCTGTTAGTTAAGTTTTTACTGGTGAAAACTTTTTCACCACTGGATTTTTGTCATTTTGATGTGAGTGGTGATCCAAACAGCTTAGGAACAAATTCCATTAGTACCATCATGATGTTGCATAAATAGGGTTTAGTTAGTTCCCCTGTTGCTAAGACCTAAACGCCACAGCGTTTTATTATGAAAGAATTTACAGAAAGTGTTTCTAGGGAGATACTGTAACTTTTTGAAGGTAGTTTCTTCTTCTCTATAATATTAATGCTCCCAAGAGGACAAGAACTAAGATTAGGATTTTTTTTTCATCTTCATTGAGATAAGGATGCTAAAATGTTCTTTTAGATCAGGGGTAGGGAACCTAAAATGTCCAGCATGTTTTGGAGGTTTACCTGCTTCAACACATCTGATTTTAATCAGCAGGTGATTAACTGGCTTCTACTAAGCCTGGTGAGCTGCTGAACAGGTGAATCAACAGTGCTGAAGCAGGGAAACGTCTAAAACCTGCTGGATAGTAACTCCAGGATCAGGGTTCCCTACACCTGGGTATAACTGAACTAAACTGTACTTCCAGCTTATAGCCACTGGAGGGTGCCAATACCCCTTCTCGTTTTTAAAGGTCCAGGGAAACCATGAGGAAAACCTGTAGCTGACAGGGGTTAGCAGACTCAATACTATACAACCACTGTTACATAAATACAGTTTTTATTGTTTTTAGCTGAAAATATAAGAAAAAATACGATTACAGCGAGTTCCTCTGTTGCCAACAGACAAATGCCCATAGCTCTGTTATTTTGAATAACATCAAAATAACTAAGTACATCCCTCTCCTCCTCCTCCTTAATATTGTTGCTCCCAAGAGGACAAACACAGATAGTTTTTCAGCTTTATTTAGATAAAGAGGCTAAAATGTTCTTAGAAGGTTGAACAGAACTAAAGTGTAGTTCCAGCTTAAGGCCACTGGAGGGCGCCAATACCTCTTGTCACATATAAAAAGTCCATGAAAACTTTAGCGCCTGCAGCTAGCTGGGTTTAGCAGACTCTATACAGTCGTCGTTTTTAACACGCAAAAATGCAGCTTTAATTGTGTTTTTAGCTGAAAAATATGAAAAAAAAGACTTAAGCAAGTTCCCCCGTTGTCAATACCACAAATGCCCTTAGCCCTGTTATTTTAAAGAATGTTCTTCCCTCTTCTCCTTATAATTGATGGTCCCAAGAGGACAAACAAAGAGTTTTCTTTATTGATATGAAGAGGAAAAAATGTTTTTTTCAAAGGTGCATTATTAAATAATATAGTGAGAATTTTACAGAGAGAAAATTACAAGAGTCTAATGTTTCAGGCATTTTGCAAGGAAGGGAGCCCCTCCTCCCTCCCTGGAAGAACAAAAAAAATTAATGCAAGTCAACGGGGCTAAAAACGCAATTTTCTAATCTGCTTAGCCTTATGCCCTGGATCGCACATATGTTGTACTGCAATATAAATGAAAAGTAATGGTGGGTGTTTTGACCATGCCAGTCACGCACTTTGAGATTTCTCAGCTTGTAAAAGTTCGTAATTAACATACACATCAGAAATTGGCAAGTCGCCACACAATCTCCTCTTCCCTAGCGTAGCTGCTACTTACCAAATGACCAGATCTATGGTGGTTATTTCCTCCTGTGGGAAGTTTGCTGAACTTACAGCTATTTTCCCTCAGTTTTCTCCATGTCTGGTTCGATGATGTCACTTTTGTGAAGCGCATTTGTAGTCCTGGACTGGTTTTCACACAAAACCTAAAATAGCATTTCCCCCGTTCGAAAATAAGCACATTCGTGGTATCAAAATGTGTCTATAAAATTCACGGACATCATATGTGAAATCCATGGCACAAAACAAGCGGAATTAGGAAATTGCGTTTTTTGCCACATTGACATTCACTTTTTCATTCTTTTGGGTGTAAGGTTATGAAGTTCATTATTTTCAACTCCACACAGCTGCCCCCTGTGCACAATAACACCCGTGTAGAAAAACCAAGGTCGGGTGTTCCTCGGACCACGGTAGATGGGCATGACACATCCAGCTGGCTGCAGGGATTGTCAGTTTTTTTCCATTCAAAACAAAGGAAGGAGGGATGTAACTACTGTTTACCATCAGTGAGTGTGGGGTTGCCGTGTCTCCTGTGAACTGATGCTGCAGTGCCAACAATTGCAATTTGATAACGGCTGGCAAAAATCTTCAGAGTTGTTGAGGTTGCAGTAACCAAATTTTACCACAGGATGTAATTTTTACTTCATTTCTACATAATGCACCTTTAAAGGTGTGGTTCACTGAAATTCACTGAAAAATACTGAGAGATCTACAAACTGTCACTTAACATTCATGGACTCATCCATCTTGACTTGCGACGGCGACTCGTAGAAGCTAACCATTAGCATCAGCAACTCCGCCCCACAGCAGAACTTCTTCAGGCTTGTGTTATTTGTGGAGATAAAACATCAACGTTGCAAAGCAAAGAGTCAGTGGGAGAGTCACAATGCTGTTAGAAGAGAGATGTCCAAATATCAGGAAATAAGACTCCAAATCCTGTCGCGTTCAGCTCAACTCTAAAATGGCTCACGTGTAGTTCCTCAAACAAGTCCACCGGAGCTTTTTTTCCCACATAATGAGTCTTAGAAGGCATTAATTCCTATTAGAGACCACTGCAAATGTATTAATTAAATGAGTCAACCACACCTTTAAATGGTTAAATAGAATTAAAATGTAGTTTAGAATTGTCACCACTGGCAGGCATCAATTTCCTCTCATTGCTTAGTTAAAATCAATTTAAAACAGAGTTTGTAGCGCTGTAGTAGTGGGAATGTGTAGAGTAGCGATGCAATGTGATTGGATAGATGAACTTTATTCAGTGTGAGAAATTGAAGGTGTGGCGTGAGAGCGTGTGAAGACAGTCAACCATGTTGTTAGTAGTAAACATTATAATTGAATACAGTTCATTTTGGGTGTTAAAGTCTCTTTTTCCGGAGTGCTTCTCTTATCCGATGGCACCATCTAGTGGCTGACAAGCATATCACACAAATAGTCTCTCGATTCGTTTTTTAAGATGACAATTTCATGTTTCTTGTTTATTAATGGGCTACTGTAGCTGACAAACGGAGCTAAAACACGTTGTTTTACAAGTATTATTCTCGTGTCATGCTGTGTTTTCATATATTTATATTTTAAAGACTTACTATTTGAAAAGTTCATCAAGTCTGCATCAGCCAAGGTATTCCTTAAATTTGAAGCATGTAAGCGGTAGTCTAACACTATTGGTTGGTTCTGGTCGGTGCTCAATTTCTTATTGCACAGAGCTCTGCGGGGCATGGGGCGTGCTTAGCAAAGAAATTTAAAATAAAAAGATGTATTGCTTACATTTTATCACAGAACATGATAAGATAATCACTTTTACAGATTTCTGACAAATCATACATCATTTCTGAAAGGGGAAAACTCCAGAAAGCTACTTTAAGTTTCCTGTGTAAGGAAACCCAAAAGATTGCATCGAGTCACTGACTTGTTGTGT